TCGATTTTTGTGGACCTAATTTTGTTTCAAATAAGGGTAAAATGGTCATTAAAAATTAAAAGAGGGCAAACTTAAAAATGGACTCTCAAAGGGGGCATTTTTGAAAAGGGGTATTGAAAAAGGGGTATTTTTAACAATTTCTCAACTTTAAACAAGAAAATAAAATTCAAAGTAAAATATTAGTTTCGAAGAACAATATACTACATATTTTTAGTTATTATTAAATTTTTACTTAAAGAAAAATAAAAAATTACTAAACTCAACTTAAATTTATAATTTAAGAAGAAAATATTGTAAGATGCAAACTTTATCTTGTGAAATTATAAAAAACAAATCTTGAAAATTTTAAAACCTTATCATCCATCTTTTAAAAAATAAATAATCAGTGATCACAATATTCATGAGTTTTACAATAAAATATATTAAAAATAAATGTAAGCCATTAAAAAAAAGTGATATGTAATTTGTGTAGCATATTCTTAAGTGGAAGTACAACTTTATAACAGAATAAAAAAAACTAAGTTTGATATTTCATCAATGAAATATTGAAAAGATAGTTATGATATGTCTTGAAAATCAATTCACAGTCCAAAATATATTATGTGTGAGTCAATAGAAGGTAAAAAGAAGGGATTATTGTTTAAAATAGAAGTTTATGCATTTTGCCCTTTTTCATGCTCCAAAAATATGATTTAACATGCGTTTCACTCGTTATGTTTGGGTTTAGTCGGTTCCATTTGTTCTTAGGGTTTAGTATTTGGTATAAAGTACGTATTTTTGGAAAAAAAAATCCTAAATACGTACATTTTTAAGTGTTAAAAAAGGGCAAAATCCGTAAACTATTCAAAAAGGGCATTTTCGTAAGTTTTTCCCAAAAAAGGGCAAAATCCACAAATGCCCTTATGAAAAATGACAAAATCCGTAATTTATTCGTAAAAAGAAAATAGATGTCGAGAGGCAACGATTGCATCATAGAAGATGACGAAAGAACTAGTAGTTAAAAGAGTTTGAAAATAAATTTCTAAAACTTTAGAAAGATAATGCACATGACTAATGTATCTTTGAGATCTCATTCATTGTGTGAAACGAATGAGTTCTTAGAAAATACATGACATACATTATTAAACAAATTATTAGATTCAAAGTTGGGTTTAACCGTTTGGCCATGTAATCATGGAAAGTAAAATAAGATAGGCACATTGATGACTTAGTCGGAAATTCTCTTATTGTTGCACTAGCTTTGATGGGTAAATCAAACTCGCTAAACTGGTTCTAGCAACATGGTATTATAAATGTACTTTTACACTAAATAATGTTCATAAAACTCGGGAAATTCACATTTTATATGGAATGATGTTATGTTCGTATCAACATTTAATCATAAATAATATCTACAATTAGTTCAACAGTCGATAATTAATATCAAAACTTTTAGAAATACCTTCATGGAATATGAATAAGAAATAAACTCTTTGAGAGTGTTGATACCGTTTATTATTTGTGGGATTATATTAAGTGATCTTTGTTACCACGTGATATATATCAAATTATTTATTTGTCAAAGAAATATTATCGTCGATAATATATATGTTATATATCGCTGCGTAAAATAAGTTTAGTGTTTAAAATTTGAATTATTATATTTATGCTCAAAAAATTATCTTTTAAATTTAATTGATTATATTTTATGCTCAAATTTTATATCAATAGAAAATATTTTAAAATTAAAATTCCGCGCAACGCACGGATACAAAATCTAGTAATAATAGTAATAATGTTGATTGAATCATTTGCATTTGTAACAGAAGAAATATCTTCTTATGTAAAAGCTTAGAGAAATTTTTGTCTTGCTCTTTATGTTCTGCTAGATAGTTCTTAAGCTACTACAGTTATATATATCATTCATGGAATCTTGTGGCGAAGGGTTAGTTAAAAGTCGACTGTATTGAAGGAATCGAAACTGATCTCCTCTCAATCACGGGATTCTTTTTCTTCACCGCCTTGATCACTATACACTCTTGAAATATATACTTGCATAGAAAGTGTATATTTGCTTCTCTGCTTCACCATTCTCCCTTTGATGAATTCAAGGATCTTTGCAAAAGATATTAGTATATGTTTTCGTCTTCAAACCGGCACCAGGACCATAAACATAGATTCCCGGTAAGGCAAAACCGAGAATCCAACCAAAAGTATGTTGGATATCTGTGACACCCATCAGGCTTCCGGTCCAGACGCCAAAGTACGACCATTGGAAAAACTGAGTCTTTCTGGTAGCTTTGAATTATAAATACCAACCCAAAATCAATTTTGAATTCGGATCCAAATGAAGGGCCAATAAAATAGGATCCTAGTTTGTTTCTTACGCAAATAATTGATGGATGTCAGAATGTGCATGTTGCATGTAACAGAGATATGGGTCAATATATGTCTAGATCACCAACACCAAGTTTGGGAGCGTAGGTGCAACGCGCTCCACTAAGTACCATTGACGTGGAGTCCACACGCCATTACTCTCGGCTCTGTACACACAACACGAGAGTCACAGGTATTGTTTGTTTTCTTATGGAAGTTCAAACTTTTAATTCAAAAAAAAAATTGTTTACAATGAATGCAATGGTTTTGATACTTTAAGTGGTCGACAGAAATAAAGCAGTGCAAAAATATATAGGGGGAGGCAGCCCCGGCTCAGATGGTAGGGTGGAGGTCCGACGATCCGGGGCTTTTTTTTTTATAAAATAATTTACATAAAAAAAAAGCCCAAATATTTTTAAAAAATATTATTAATATGAGAATTATATTTTAAGAGGCCTAATTATTTATAAAAAAATGTATAAAAAGGTCCAAAATTTTTAAAATAACAATTTTTACTATAAAAGCTCCGCAAAAATTTTAAAAATTAGGTAAATTTTCTCTTTGTATATAATAATAGGCCAAAAAAAATTTTTTTGCCCTAAGGCTCTCAAATATATTGAGCCGGGGCTGGGGGGAGGGTGGTGAGGCTGAGCATGCCAGAACAGAGGAATTGCTATTCCCGCCTAGCCCCGATTACTTCCCGCTTAATCGCTAGGCCCACTCTCTCCGCTTCGATTAATGACTAATCCCCTAAAAAATCAGTAACCCGATTATTCTCCGCCTAATCCGATTATTTTCCGTCTAATCCGATTATTTCCCGCCTAATCTTACATACCCCGATTATTTTTTAGATTGCAAGTATAAAAAAAAACATTTTATTTTTGTTATTCAATCATTTGAATTGGGAGTTTGTGATGTTTTACATAACTTGTGTTCAAATTTTAATAAAAATCATAAAAATTTGTTTTTACTGTAATTTTGAAAACAATATTGAATTAATATATTTTAAAAATATTAAAATAACCCTAAAACTAATCTCCGATTAATCCCCGATTTTAATCCGATTTTCCGATTAATCGCTAGGTCCATGCCGAACGCCCAACTAGCGCCTAGCGATTTTTCAAACAAGGGATAGATATAGATAGATGCATAAAGGGTTTCTCATTCCAAGTTAACATTATTGAGAACACAATAATGGAGTTGCCAAATTTGTTACATCGAAGTGCATAGGCCCTCCTATCTCATTTTAGTGAATAGCTAGGGGCTTGTTATTGAATGACTGGTATGTACTATAGAGAAGAGAAGAGAGGAAGATTTACAAACCAGACCTTCAATTTTGATCTTTTTCTAGTTCTACCCCTAAACTCTTTTTGTTTCTTAAAAAAAAAAAAAAAGGTAATCCTCCGATTAAAATGACGGACGTGTCATGATTATGATTAACACATTAAAGAGTAGAGAAACATCACCACTCTACAACAGTACATAGAGAATCTAAGCTACATTGTTCCTCCGACAATCCGACAAAGCTATAAGCACAGCCAACGATCGTACAATTATTCGCTTTCCTCTTCACCACCATCCTCTGCAACCAAACCATAATAATTATCAGTTTTTAAAAATATACTCTGCTGAAATTTGATGTAAATGCTTTACAGGAAACAAAAAAAGATTCGCTGGTTCTCCTTCGCTTTGACTTCCCTCTCCGCCATCTTCATTACCTCCCTCGTCTTCTTCTTCTTCTTCTTCTTCTTCCTCATCCTCTTCATTCTCAGAATCTTCTGAGTCATCGCTCTCGCTTTCTTCTGCTTCTATCGGCTTTGGAGGAGTTACAAAACTTGCGTTAGATCTTCTAGGCATAGAAGTAAATAATCCAATATTTTCTAAAATCCAAAAAGTCACTCAAGATTTCCTTTTTTTTTCTACTCAAACTCCACCAGTTTCTTTGTATATAGGAAGTAGAGGCGAGGGTTATTATACCTTAAGAACTTAAGATTTCTCTCTTCAGAAAAAAAAAGGTACAGTATCTCTCTACTCCTTCCTCTTCCTCTTGCTGATTTTGTGCCTCTCGCTCTCTTTCGCTTTGATTGGATGCGTTTCCGATTTCACAGACGAGGGTTTGTCTAAATCTACTAGTTGATACGATATCTTGATTCTTCTACTAGTTTTGCTGCTAATGTTTTAGATTCAAATTGGCTAATTGTGAGAATTTTTTCTTGTGTCATAAGTAATTGTTCTCATTTGAATTCATGGTCTCGCCCAGGAGGCGGGAAGAGTTGAGAACGATCTTCGCTTCGCGGGAACAACTAAAACCACCATCTACCTTCCTTCAAAGGAGATACCAAATAGAGTTGTTTGCAGATCTGCCGATTTGCTCACTCTATACCTTCCTCTATCGTATGGTGAGTATTTGATAAGAGTTTAAGAGCTAACATATCAAGGAACAGCATTAAGACTTCATGTTTTTGAAATTAGAGCCTTTGCCCCTTCATTGTCCTGAGCTCTTTGTGTGAACTCAACAAAAAAATTCATCACTTGAAAACTGGCTATGCAGATATTATCGCTATTGGCTAAGAGTCCAAGGAAATATGGAGGTCTGGGCTACTCAACCAATGATGTTGGTACAGTTCTTGCTATCTCAGGTATGCAGAACATCCTTCCTCTTGATGTCGTCTTGTGATTTAGTGATAAGAACTTGTGAAATTGATGATTAGAGTCTGCTTTGATTTGAATCAGCATGAGGGTTAAGCAATCATGAATAAAAAAAAATTCTTACTAAACGTAATTGAGACTGTGTTATTACTCATCTATAATTCTGCTTTGGTCTCGGCCTAATTTCCTTTCAGGTTTTTGTTTATACCTTGGCCGAGAAACTGCTAGGACTTGTACTGGTTACCCGTTTTGTTGGGGTTAGTTGATATTTCCTTTGATGCTTCTATGTAGATTATATGTACTGCACTTGAATGCAACAAGATAGATAATTCTTCTGACAATTTCTTTCATTTCAGGCACTGTTGTCACCAATACAAATGACTTATCCATTTATAACAAATTTATCATGTCTCATTCTAAGCTTGATGATAAATTCTGAAAATGTCCCGGCCTAGATTATTTCCCTTAGTTCTGGATTTGCTTCAACGGGTTTATTCAGTTGTTAAACATTTTTACTTTTTTGGAGATTTAACTAGGTTCTCCTTGTTCCCAAGAAAAATGGCCGAGGAGTACAACAAAACGTTGTTGGAGAACAAGACGTACCATGATGGATGTTCGGGATGCAATGTTGAACAGATGAAGCAGCGCCGACTAGGGTATCCGTATATGGAGCTCTCTTTCGTCTGGATCGTTGTTCTCTCCACTTGTAACACATTCTTACCCTTCTTTGATTCTCAAAAACAGTTTTTATTATGTTAAGCTAGTTTTTTTTTTTTTTTTTTTTTGACTATTCGGCAATTTCAACTGCTTTGAAGAGATTTCGGAAATGATAGGCCAAATGATTTTGTGAGAAAGCTTTCTTGTGTTGCAAGTAATGACTCCTTACGAAATTTCTCATGCCTTCTCATTACAATTCATGTGTTTGCAGCTCTCCCGATTTCTTCGCTTTACTTACCCCTTCCTCTATTATATGGTGGGTAATTTGATTTAAGGACTTAATTACGAGCTACCATGTTATGGATCCTTGTCATTTTTATGATTTTTTTGTTCAAAATTGAGAAACATGTTAGACAGTTGAGGGGTTTTAAACTAATGAAGGTGTATACCACATCGCATACAATACCTTCCTTTTATCACACGCTCTCAGTACTACGTATAACTTGTCTTTTTTTCACATATAGAGGATTTTGGTGTCGCCAAGACAGAGAGGGACATCGGGTTTTATACCGGATTCGTCGGTGAGAAGACATTGCCTCAGTCATTTGTTATTCTGCACTGGAATCCATATATCTACCGTTTGGTCTAACTATTCTCGTATTATTTCGAAGCTTGCTCGTTTATGCTTGGGAGAGCATTGACGTCAGTATCATGGGGGATTGTCTCCGATCGTTATGGAAGAAAACCCATCATAATCGTGGGAACAGTCTCCATGTTAGTTTTTAAACATAATTTGATTATTGTATCCATGTCAATCTGTAAGATGACTGATTAGGTGTTTATTGCAGAGCTTTTTAACGCTCTTTTTGGCTTGAGCGTTAATTTTTGGATGGCAATTGCCATGAGATTTCTGCTTGGGAGTTTCAACTGTCTACTTGGAACAATGAAGGTAACTTCTTTGTTCCCACTATTATTCTTGGTTTGTGTATTTTTGTTCTGCACACCAGTTACATTTTCTCATATCGAAATCGTTCATGTGAAATTTGCAGGGGTTCCCTTTTCAGAAAAGGTATCTCTCTACTCCTTCCTTTTCTTGTTTCTGATTTTGTGCCCCATCTCTCTCCCTCTCTTTCTCTGGTTGGATGCGTTTTCGATTCCACGTACAAGGGTTTGTCTGATTCTACTAGTTGCTACGATATATCGTGTTTTTATTCTCACAACAGTACACTTTTATTTTGTTAGATGGAAGGCCAAAAGCAACATCAACACCATAAGAAGCAGTGTGACCCTGAGGAAAGCCATCATCACCACGTGGTTGAGATTTTATCAGCAGAGGCAAGATTGGTGCTGGTACTGAAGAAGACATGTGGAGAAGCTCCTTGCGGGTTCTCTGATGCGAAGACAATTTCAAGAGACGCTGCAGAACGCTTAGCATCTGTGAGGAAGCTCTAGTACAGTTCTTGCTATCTGAGGTATGCAGAACATCCTCGCTCTTGATGTCTTGTGTTTTAGTGATAAGAACTTATGAAATGATGATTAGACTCTGCTTTGATTTAAATCTGTTTGACAGTTAAGTAATCATGAGTGAGCAGAATTCTTACTTATGAATATTGGAGACTGATAACACTTCATTTTTAGGTCTCGGCCTATTCTTCTTTCAAGTTTTTGTTTATCTTTTAGCCGAGAGACTGCTAGGACCTGTGCTGGTGACTCGTTTTGCTGGGGTCAGTTGATATATATTTCCTTTGATACTTCTCTGCAGATTATTAAATGATGGAGATCGCTCTTCTGACATTTTCTTTCATTTCAGGAACTGATGAGTGATGATACCAATACAAGCGGCTTATCCATTATAGCAAATTTATCAAGTCTTAGTATAAGCTTGATGTTAAGTTATCCATCAATCCTCCTAAATGTGCTAAGTGTAAGTTCACTCGGCACATTTAGGAGGATTAATGCACAATTTCAACATTAAGCTTAAACTTAGATCTGATAAATTTGCTATAAATGGATAACTCATTTGTATTGGTAATTTGTGATCAGTACAGATCCTAGCAGTCTTTGTGTCTATAGGTGTCTGCCATAACCGGCTTGTTGACTCTGAAAAATAAAGCTGTGGTAAAGAAACATTCTTTAATCTTCTTTTGTAAACATTGGTCCATTTTGTAAATTTTAACTTCATTTTTTTTGTATGAAACAACTAAAACAACAGGATCAGAGCCTAAGAGGGGCAGCTAATTGGATCTGCGATGTCTCTCTTTAAGACAATTGGACCAGCTGGAGCTGTCACCTCGTAAGTGACATTTTGAATGAACAACTTGAGTAAATTCAAAGAAACAATAATGTCTTAAACACAAATCTCTGTTGCTGGCAGATTTTCTTGGAGCTAAAGGCGACTCGACACTGCATTTCTATCAGGTATCGCATTACTTTCCTTTGGCCATTCTGTATGATGTTCATAATACTTATGCTTAAACACAAAGAAACTGAAAACGTATGCAGGATCTCATATGGTGTTCCTTGTCCTGAATGTGATAGTCGTGGTCGAATTAGCTTTCAAGTTCAAGCCATTTCTTACCACGTCTCAAAGGTGAAATCTGTTTGAATTGGTGATAGGGAAATGTATGGACTCGTTGTTTCTATTAATTTCATAATAGAAAGAAACGGTCATCAAAGTTCACTAACCTTAGGATTTCAGCTTCTGTTTATTGGTTAGTGAAATTTTAAGAAGCTTCAGGGTTGTTGATGTATTAATCTTTAGAAGTGGATTCTATCCTGAAATGATGTATGTATTAATCGCTTAATAAATCGTTATCTAATGGGTCGATTATTCATAACTCATAAGTTAAATGAGTTGAGTGTGGATGAAGCAATGAGTGATTTGATAAGAGATACGTCTAGTGGTTCTGTTATTTAACTTAAGAAAATATTAGATTAACTAATGGGCTCTGTTTTTTCTGTCAAGATCCTTGTATGTAATAAAAACTGAAATAACTAACCAACAAGGAAATAAAAATAAAGAAGAAAAATTTAAGAAAGAGATGTGAGAGGAGGAGACGCAACAAAAGAACTTCCCCTCCGAGAAGAATGGTGAACCTACGAATATACACCTAGACCATCTTTACAAAACAAAAAAAAACTATGAAGTTTCTTGTTTTGTTTTTCTTTTTCTGATTCCTAAAATTACAATTTGAAAGGCATACAAGTTTTTTTTATCAGAAATAAACACAAGATTAAGATGGGGGAGAAGAAAAAAGAGGTGATCAGATTAGAGAGAGAAGCTGTGATCCCAATTCTAAAGCATAAGCTCATCACTGCCTTGTCCCTTCACTTTGGTCTCCTTTTTTCTACATTTCATTGTTTCTCTGTTTCTACATTCCTCTGTTTCCCCTCTTTATAAAACTACATTTTGATCATTCTCCTCCAGAGGAGAAATGGGAGAGAGAGGAGTTCCTGAGATTCTGCCAAAGAGTGGAATGCACCATTAGAGCTTGGTACCACCTGCACTTTGAGGATCTTATGGTATATTTATGTAATCAATCTATCCTCTTCAATCCTTTCTTATCATATTAGTAAAAGCTAGAGATTGTGTTTGTAGCAACTGTATTCACTCTTCGAACCTATCCGTGGCGCACACAGGCTTAACCAACAGAATTTATCTCCTCTTGAAATCGATGCTCTTGAAGATCAATTTCTTCTTCATTTATTCCAGGTTTCTATCTTTGTTTCCACTCCATTCTTTTCTCTAAATACAAAATTTACCAATGAAATGAAAACGAATACATCTCCTAGGTCATGGAGAAGAGCAACTTCAAAGTGATAACTAATGAAGAAATACAAGTAGCTCTCTCTGCTCAATATCGTCTCAATCTTCCTATTGTTGTTAATGAAGCTAAGGTATAACAATATAACAATCTTCAACATGTTGGCAATGACATGTTCATAAGTTATATATGGTTCCTTGATGTAGCTTGATACAAAGTTGTTAACAAGATTCTTCACCAAGTTTCCCCGGGATGATCTTCCTCGTTTCGCTGATAAGGTAACTTTACTGCTTTCTAGTAGTAATCCAGTATAGTGAATCCAACAAATTGATTTCCTCTAGCTAATATATAATGATCTTATATATGTCTTGTCACTTGAAGTATATAATATTCAGACGTGGGTTTGGGATAGATCATATGAAAGCTTACTTCTTCCTAGCCAAAATAGATACAATCCTTGTCCGTATTTGGAACTTTCTTCTCACTATCACATGGTGAGCCACCTCACACTCTTTTGTTTCTGTATATATATATATATATATATACCTCTTGAAGGATGCATTCAAAATGCAAAACTAATACTCAGAATTTCTCTGTTTCAGTTTAAAAAGAATTATATATGGGAAAAAGAATGAAATAGGGTTGTCAGAGCAGATTGATATTAGCATTGAAACAGAGAAGGATAGTTTATACATTGAAAGAATCCGCATAGAGAAGCTCAAGCTCAGGTTCTCAACTAATCCTTATTTAGGCTTATCTGCTACAATCATATCATTGACTTGTCTCTGTGTTTTTTAATCACTGATTCAGTCTCTCCAACTTGATGAAAAAGATAACAATCCAAGAGCCTACCTTTGAGAGGATCATTGTAGTATACAGGTACAAAAGCAGAGAAGTAGTTGGATATTTGGAGGGTTGTGAGTTTTTTTTTTTTTTTTTTCTCATCTTAGTTTTGGATTCTCTCTCACACACACAGGAGAGTTTCAGGGAAGAAGGAAGCAGAAAGGAACATATATGTGAAACACTTTAAGACCATTCCAATGGCTGATATGGAAATCGTGCTTGTGAGCATCCATTATACAAACACTTTGAGCTCAAATGTATCTTACTAATTAGAAATTAACTGATTGCTCATTACTACACAGCCAGAGAAGAAAAATCCAGGTCTTACGCCACTGGACTGGGTCAAGTTTCTTGTCTCTGCTGCCATTGGACTGGTCAGTTCTGTTACATTTTTCAACAGAATTAGACAATGGCAAATGTCTTATCAGCTCTACTTTTACAGGTAACAGTGGTAAGTTCAGTGAGCCTCAAAAAGACTGATATCAGAGTCATTGCAGCTATACTTAGCACGGTCGTGGCCTACTGCGTTAAAACATATTTCACGTAATCTTCACTCATTAATGAGACACCATCCTCCAGTTTTGTTGATTAGTACTTAATATCTCTGCCTCTCCCCCTAATTACAGGTTTCAGAGAAACTTGGTAGATTATCAGAGCCTTATCACAAGATCTGTGTATGATAAGCAGCTAGACAGTGGAAGAGGTACTCTGCTTCACTTGTGTGATGAAGTCATCCAACAAGAGGTGCTAATTATATCCCCTGTTCTTTTTCATGTTGTATTCTTGTGTTTTTGCTAACAAACTGATGATAAAATGCAGGTTAAAGAGGTCATCATTTCGTTTTTCATGCTGATCAAGAAAGGGTGTCCTACAAGCAAGGTATGTGTACTCTGCAACATTCTTATATGAATATACAAAACACACACACATGTATAGGTTGACCTCAAAAGATGCAATAAAAGGAAGAGCTTGACATGCAAAGTGAAGCATTCATCAAAAAAGAATTCAATGAAAGCTGCAATTTCGATGTAGATGATGCTATCACGAAGCTTGAGAAGCTTGGACTTGTATCTCGTGTGAGTCCCTCTATTTCTCTTATAATCAGAACGTCTCTCTCTGAATAGATTTAGTTAAGTATATCTTGTGAGGGTTGGTCAGGATTCAGAAGACAAGTATAGATGCGTGGAAATGAAGGAAGCAAACGAGATAATGGGGACAACTACGGAAGAGATGGTACTCAAGGCAAGAAAAGGTGGAGAATATGAAGACGAGGAAACAACAGAGAATGAGCCTCAATTGAATCCTCAAGATGAACTTACCGCAAAGGAAGAACGTTTTCAATCTCGATATGACGAGTTTGAGTCCTTGTGGATGTAACAAAGATTTCATGTCATTCAAGACCCGTAGATTTAATATTGTAAAAAGACACAAACAAAAGGTACAAAAATAATCGAATAGACCTGTCCAGCACATTTCAAATCACATATCACATCAAATGAATTCTTCCTTAATTATTGCATAAACATAGATTATATTATATAAAACATAAGACAGGATTAAAGTTTTGCGTAGTGTAGGTAGGCAGATAGAAGAAAAGCGTTCTTATTAGAGAGGAACGCTGTGCAAGACGACTGTCTCAACAGTGAGACCTGGTCCGAAACCAAACAAGACTCCCCACTCCAACCCTTCCCCTGTCGTGGCCACACCATCCTTGGCTGACTTTCTCCTCATCTCGTCTAGTATGAAGAGAACGCACGCGCTCGACATGTTTCCATACTCGCTCAACACGTGACGTGTCATCCTCATCTTCTCTTCCTTTAGTCCTAGCTTTAACTCCACCTGATCTAGGATCGCAGGACCTCCAGGGTGAGCTATCCAGAAGAGGGAGTTCCAGTCACTTATCCCCAAAGGTTTAAACGCTTCGTCTAAACTCTTCACAATGTTCTTCGAGATGAGGCCGGGAACATCCTTGAGGAGATGGAAGGTGAGACCCACTTCCCTCAAGTGTCCGTCTATGGCACCATCAGAGTCTGGGAGGATGGTCTGTGCGGCGGACACCATCTCGAAGATGGGTTTCTCTCCGACAGATGTGTCAGGGTCCGACCCCACGATGAGTGCGGCAGCGCCGTCACTGAAAAGAGCCTGACCGACGAGGGAGTCAAGGTGGGTGTCAGAGGGGCCACGGAAGGTGACAGCTGTGATCTCAGAGCAGACGACAAGGACACGAGCTCCGCGGTTGTTCTCAGCCAGGTCCTTGGCGATACGGAGGACAGTGCCGCCGGCGAAGCAACCTTGTTGGTACATCATGAGACGCTTGACGGAAGGACGGAGACCAAGAAGCTTGGTGAGCTGGTAGTCAGCACCAGGCATGTCGACGCCAGAGGTAGTGCAGAAGACGACATGAGTGATCTTTGACTTGGGCTGGCCCCACTCCTTGATGGCCTTCACTGCCGCTTCTTTGCCTAGCTTAGGGACTTCAACCACAACGATGTCCTGTCGGGTGTCTAGAGAAGGAGCCATGTAAGCGCACATGTGTGGGTTTTCCTTGAGGAAGTCCTCTGTCAGATGCATGTGGCGTTTCCGAATCATCGACTTGTCGCCTGTTAATAGTACTAATTGTTAACGAACTATGTAAAAGAAGATATATGCCTAATGAAATGAAGGTAGAAGTTATTAAGATCACGTACACATGCGCTTGAACTTCTCCTTGAGGTCGGTCATGTGTTCACTGTTGGTGATGCGGAAGTAGTAGTCAGGATACTCCGCCTGAAGCACATGGTTCTCAGGGTTAGCCGTGCCAATAGCCAAGATCCCTGCAGGTCCATCAGCTCTCTGAGCCTTTCTGATCTCATCCAACGAAGAAGCTCCTGCAGCCATCACCATTATATTACACACCAACTTGGGTTTATTAGAGTTTGATGTTGTTGTGTACTAAACAAGTTAGGTGTATTTAGAAAGATGGCGGAGAGTGAGATTTTATATAACAAACTGACACGGGAAAAAGGAGATGAGAGTGTGGTAGGTTAGATGGACGGGCGGATGAAGAGCTACGTGGCTAGTTGTTAGCCCCCTTTTCTGTGGTTCTTCTTGCTTCCCTATTTTTTCGTTACTTACCAAGATTGAATGGTGGGTTTTGAATCCTTTGATTGATATACACTAAAACCTCTATAAATTAATACTCTATAAATTAATAATTTCTCTAAATTAATAAATTCTTCCGGTCTCGAGTTAGGACCAGTGCAAAATATGACATAACTCGATAAATTAATAAGATAATAATTTTTTTGAAAATCTCATGTAAACATATGGTCCATCTATATCATAAATTAATAATTATATAAACTTACTATATATATATGTATATTTAACTTAATATATATATGATATAAATTTATATATTTCATATATGAATTACTACGATATATATTTAAAATATTATATGTAAAAAGTTTAATGAAATATGAATCTATTATTCAAAAAAGTTTGTGTTGTTTTTTAAACTTAATAATTGCTTCTCTACTTACAATTGGTTTTAAAAAGATATTGCTTATAATTTTTTTTTTTTTTTTTAGATGGAAATTTTTAAGAAATTACCAAATTAGAAAAATCACTCTATAAATTAATAATTATTAATTTATCGATAAATTAATACCTCTCTAAATTAATAAAATTTTCTGGTCCCAACATTATTAATTTATAGAGGTTTTACTGTATATGTTTGCAACAACAACTCATAAGTATTAATTTTCTATATATGTACATATTTATTATATATACGGTGTATGTATATATATCTTAAGATATTTATTATGAGTAAGAGCTATATTTATTATGTCTTAAGACACGTAAAGCTTGTGAAAAGAATAAAACTTAATACGTACACCAACAAAAGGGATTTGTTGTATAGTTTCTCCACCATAAGGAGATTTCACTTCCCAGTTCCCACACGTGCATACTTAACTCCATCATTAGCTCCTACTAATCTAATACTATTCCTTCTTCATTGTTACCTTATAATCCTAATATCCTATAACTAACGACTAATAGTGTTACATTAGGTACGCCTCGTTTTCTCTCTCCCACCCCATCATAGTGGTGATAGATGAGTGTGCTCTTTTTGTGCCTTCCAACGCAAGATGCCAAGATACATTTATTTTGGTTTTCATTAAACATGATAATAAAATTACTTATATTCATCACAAATCTTTTTGAGAAAATGTTTTGCATAGAATTATCATTATACCGCTTTAGCTCAGTTGGTTTAGTTTCTCTTGTTATTTCTAGGAGGTCAGTCGTTCAAAACCCATTTTATGTTTTTTTTTTTTTAAAACTCCAGCCAGCTTTATTAGAACTTTCATGAAAATAATCGCGGGTTTGTTTGATTAAATTGAAAAATCAATCAAAATTGACAATTCATTTTAACACATGCGAACTTGAAGCTTTTTTCAACATTTTTGCTAAATTGAGCTAGGCTCCCTTTTCTATGACATCTTTCCATTCTTTTTAGTTCATTCCACTCTTTTTATTATTTATTATTCGTTTTATAAACCTCAACAATAGTTGAATTGGCAAAATGATATCCATCTGCACATACATATTCAGCCCATTTTAAATTAGATACAAAATAAAATATTTGGGCTTCAAAAAAGAAGACCAGGCCCATATTAACACCCCTGAGAAGGAGAATGTTCGACGGTGCCTAACGACGCAATGCAGACCGGAAATTGCTTCCGATGCCGTCAGGCTGGTCACTGGATCAGCGATTGTCCTCTCAAATCCAAAACCGATGATGATCCTCCACCGGCGATCCACTGCACTTGCGGTGGAGGTTTCTGCGAAATCAAGGTCGCGAATACTCGAGAAAATCCCGGAAGGAAGTTCTACAAGTGTCCAACGGTTCTCTACTGAATTCTTCTCCCGCAATTTCGCGAATAAATTTGAATTTGTTACTGACAAAACTTGAATTGGCAGGCTCAGAATTGCAAATTCTTCAAATGGTGTGACAAAGTAACCGACGAAGATATCAGATTCCGTCCTGCCTTCACCATCCCGATTTGTTCCTGCGGTGCTGGACCTTGCCGGAGAGTTAAAGACGTTTCCGGTAGAGCTTACCTGATATGCTGCATCAAAGAGGTTTGATTCGTTCGCAAGTTTAAAGCTCCGAGTCGAAAATTTCGGTTAACATGTTTTAAGAAATTGTGTTAGGGTTTTGGAGCTTGTGGATTCTTCAAATGGGAAGATGCTGAGATGATTCCGAGTTGTGATGTAATGGATGAGATTGATTTCTGGGTTGAAGCTGATCAAATTTTGAGTGATGTTGAGAGTAGCTTCCAGGCTCGTGGTGGTGTTATACCGGAAATTGCAAACCAAATGGCATCAGAGAAAGAATGTCAAGCTTCTGTTAGTGGTGCAGAGGATGATTCTACATTAGAAAATTTGGATTCCACTTCAATGTCTGTTTCTGATGTACATTTTATTGCTCTGAACCAAGGTACTTCACTTATGGACTATTTTGATTCTTTACACTGGGAATTAATACACTTTCTTGTTCTTTCAACTCTTATGCTATTTTACTAGGTATCCCTCTGTTTGAACCGTTTTCGATCGAACCTGAAGAGGCATGGAAAAAGACTCCACATGGTGATCAGCCAACAAATAGTGCTCTTTCTAAGTTGAGTGTGGATGAAGCAGTGAGTGATTTGATCAGAGATACTGTCTCTAGTGGTTCTGTTGTGATACATGGAAGGACAACCCTTGAGCAACCTGGAATTGGTGAAGCTGAGTGGTTATTTCCTTACTTGCAGGACCTAATTGATCAGTACAACTCAGAGAAGCTTCAATTGGAGAGTATTTCGGGGAAACATGTACAAGTGTTGAGCGAATTTATGTCTTCGTACAGGCGACTAAGGTTACTTCATGAGAAAACCTGTCATCTCAGGAAAACTTTACTTGAAACAGAGAAGGAGATGGTTTGTTGTGAGGCCGAGACATTAGAATTTGGAGCAAGTTGTAGGGAAGTGGCTGGAGAAATGGCTGAGTCTCAGAAAAGGATGCAGGAGACTGCAGAACAACTAGGGAAAGAAGTAGAAGTGTTTAAGCAAAATGAGTTTGTTGCTCCGAAGAGAAGAAGATGCTGAGCTTTGTTATTGCAAGTGTTGGAAGGTAATTATCAGTGGTTAGATTGGTTTAAATTCTGCAATTCCAACGTTTTTCACTACCGCATCGGGTAATTTGTATAGACTAGTAGATTAATGGATTAGTTGATAGGTGACTGCAAAGCTCGTCGTGCCCCTTAACTTCTCCCATATCACTCTCAGGTTTAGATGAGCCAAAAGCAGACTTACTTTGTTTATAACTTTTGAATGTGCTTTAGAATTATGAATCTACTTAGTGCGCTCATCACATGGTCGTTTGATTAAAAGAGTAATTAGATTCAAGTATGTAAGACAAAAGATGTTTGTGTAGGCAATAATTAGAAAAAGGATTAATTATGTTAAGCGTCCAAGAGAATGCCTTTCCACGTTTGGCGCACATGCCTTCTCTTCTTTTTTCCTTTCTACTAAACAAACACAATAGACCCAAACCCACAGGTAATTGATCATCAGATTATTTACATCAAAAATAGTTCAACATGAGTTATAGAGAGATGCTCTAAGGTCAGTCCATTTGTGAGAACAAAACAGTAAAACACCCTTCCAATTTCCATGGAACAAAACAGTAAAACACCCTTCCAATTTCCATAGAACTGATCTAGTTAAGAATGGGAATATGCATAAGTGATCGATTGTGTATATATCAATTTGTTCGAGGAAATTACACACAACAGTCAAGAAGGGTTTGTCAAATGCCGAAGTCACTTTAGAGTTTAGACTTTAGAGCAGTGATGAGTGTGAAAAAGGGAGATTGTGACCAGGAGGGCTTAATTAGGGTCCTTGACCTAAACCGTAATTAAGTATTCGTATATATGTTTTGTCCATTAACTACTTATTAGATTCGTATTTTGTCCATTAATTACATTTTATATAGTTCTTACATGTACTAATATTCCACCGTAGACCATGAGAACGTAGTATAAATTTGTAAAGAAACCCTATGGATATCGGAGAATAATACCAAGAGGCGATAGAGAATGGAAGCGGAACGTAAATGTAAACAAGATTCAATGCATCAAGATTGGAATAACAATATAAAACTAAACGAGAAAAATGAGAGTTGGTCAAAAGTGAGGGAACATAAATTATAGGGCTTGTTTACTCCAATGAAATTAAGATTAAAGATGAATTCAAAAGCATAAAAGGATTGCTCACATGCAACCCAAATTCCTTTGTTCTCAATAATGCATGTTTGTTTTAAAATAGTATATAGAAAATGAATTTGAATGGAGTATTTTGGTCAGAATATATATCGAGTTATTGAATTTAGGAAGAGACTATATCATAACCAAGAGGACAAACACAAAATGAGTAAATTATAAGGAAATAGATAGATGCCTTGGGATTAGAAAGTGGGATATGAAAGAAAAAGGGTGTGGCACTATTCATTGAAGTTGCAACCTATAAAATTGGGAGCACATGCACTACCCCTATATTGTTTTTGATTATTCTCTAATTAATTAACACTAACACACATTGTGATTACTGTACATGTAGACTAATGGGGCATATATATTATAAAAGATTAAGAAATATACGATCCACTATCACCGTCCCTAACGTTGGTCGTGTAGCCAAACATAAATGGTCTTTGGTCGTCCTCTCTGACACAAAATAAGATCGTCTAGAAAGGCTACCACTTGCTTCCTTAGATACTCATATCAAATATCATAATCTCTCTCTAATGAGACTTCAACTCTTTTAATTTATGTTGGTCAAAAGTCAAAACCCTACTCTGACATATGAGTAATACAAGATTAATACACATATAATGATATAGAGGTTGCTTAAGTAATGACTTTCCTCCTCATAATTAAGTCGACTACCTTCCATCATGCGGCCATCATTGCACCCTTCTTTACCAATTATTAACTAACCAAAACACCAAACTCATTGTTTTTATGTGTTGTATGATTGATAAGACGGAAAGTGTTTTACGTTTTCATATATGAAAAAATCAGGGATCGCTTCTCTTTTCATGTTAAAATCGCAGTTCATGCACATTTCATCATTCAATTTGGACCATCACATGCAATAGTATTTGGACGCGTTATACCAAATATATTCTCCGAATTGAATAGTTTATCTATTACGTTATCTCTCGTTAATTTGTTAATCAATTCGGTCGATATGTTATTATTAGACACGGGACATTGGTATCTAAGGTAACATGCTAATCATGGCTCTTATCATTCCTAATCCCTTTGTTTCAGCTTATTATTGTTGATGAATGATGATTATGTGTATCTATCGATACTTGTTTAAGTATTTACATTTTTTTATTATGATTCTAATTTCCTTTGTTATTTTTTTCACTCATCTCATCAGTAATATACAGCATCTCAGAAAAAAAAAAAAGAAGCTCTTATGTATTACTATTGTAATTTATTGAGTCGATATATTAGCAGCACTTGTATGATTAAAGGCAGTCCGATCTTAATTTAGCATTATATTTCAGCAGAATTAACCATGTATGAAAATAAAATCACCTAGTGTAGAACAACCTTGAGAAATGCATGATAAATTAATCATTTAGATAATTTAATTATATACTTTTGATTGACTGATAATTGATATATCATGGGCCACAATTAACTCAACACAGTGCCATTTTTTAAATGATGTTTCAATTGGAATAAAAAGATAGATAAAAGAATTAATTAAAGACAATGAAAAAAAGAGAGAGAAAAAGGAAAGGTATAGCTCTTATATAAAAGGGTTGTGGAAGGGATACTTTTCCAAGACCAACACACATTCCCTTTCTTCCTTCAACTAGAAAAAAGATATATCGGACATTTATTGATCTGTGTATGCATAAAGGTATAGTATCATTATTAGAAAGATGAACACAACATCGTCAAAGAGCAAGAAGAAGCAAGACGATCAAGTGGGTACAAGGTTTCTTGGGGTGAGAAGAAGGCCTTGGGGAAGATACGCAGCTGAGATAAGAGACCCAACTACGAAGGAGCGTCACTGGCTTGGCACTTTCGATACGGCTGAAGAAGCTGCCTTGGCCTACGATAGAGCTGCTCGGTCCATGCGTGGCACACGTGCCAGAACCAACTTTGTTTACTCAGACATGCCTCCTTCCTCCTCCGTCACTTCCATTATTTCTCCCGACGATCCCCCTCCTCCTCCACCTCCTCCTGCTCCTCCTAGCAATGATCCTGTCGATTACATGATGATGTTTAACCAATACTCATCCACTGACTCGCCAATGCTTCAGCCTCATTGTGATCAAGTGGATAGTTACATGTTTGGTGGCTCTCAATCTACTAATTCTTATTGTTATTCTAACAACAGTAGTAACGAGCTGCCTCCTCTGCCGAGCGACTTGTCCAATTCGTGTTATAGCCAACCACAGTGGACCTGGAGCGGTGATGACTACTCGGCTGAGTACGTACATAGTCCAATGTTCAGCAGAATGCCTCCGGTTTCTGACTCTTTCCCTCAAGGTTTCAACCACTTCGGCTCCTAATTCTTTCTCATCAATATTTACTACCTTCCTCATTTGTACCTTTTCCTTTCTTTTTTTTGGGTTTATCTATGTTTTGACGTCCTTGATCTCTGCATATGATCAAAGTGACTGTTTGTCATTAGTTTTTCAATAACAAGTTATCATTTGTATCTTGATTAATGAAAACAAGAAACTGCTCTTGTGTTACTAGTTACTACTTTCAAATACATATTTAATATATATGGGCCTTGGACATCAAAGGCCCATTCTTCGATGGGCTATTAGTTTCCTTATGGTAGAACTAGGATATATTGTAGGATGGAACAACAATTTGTCATTCTACATCTGTGGTTTTGGTATTTGCTCATGTAGTGTAGTTCTTTCATAATTGAATAATTTGATGGTTTCTTCTGGTAACTTACCTGTTGTGGATGGTCAAAAGATTGTAGTAGGTTTGACTGGTGAACCATGTCTACCTATCTTAAAAGTTGGTCACCAAACATAAAAAATAAGCAAGTACATAAGTGTTTCATTAACACCCAAAATAGTAAATTGAGGTGATATGATGATGGGGACTAAGTATTTTTATTTTAATTACGCCATTGCCGTTGCACTTCTTCTAGTTGCAGCTAACTCAGGGATGCAAATAAGTGGGCAAAGCGTTTCGTGCCTAAACCAGCTTGCCCCATGCCTAAATTACCTGAACGGTACCAAGGAAGTGCCTCAAGTTTGCTGTAATCCTCTCAAATCAGTGATAAGGAACAATCCAGAGTGCTTGTGCCGTATGATTAGTAACCGAGGAAGTTCTCAGGCCGAACGAGCTGGCATCGATGTCAATGATGCTCAAATGTTGCCTGCTCGATGTGGAGAACATGTCAATCCAATTGCTTGCTTAACTCGTACACACTAAACTTCTTTAGTTGTTTTTTTTTTTTTTTTTTAATTTTTCAATCAAAAAATGTTTTGGTTTTGAATCTTTTGTGTTCTTGCAGGATCTCGAGGATCTACAAACTCAAACAGAAGTTCCTCCTCTGGCAACTCCTTCTCTCAATCCTATTGGATGACAACATTAGCTTTTGCACTCATCGTTTTGTCATTTATATTCTTTCAGTAACCTGTATTTCTCATTGTCTATAGCAACTCTGCTTTGCTTTTTGTTTGTTTTGTTTTGATGCTGTATGAGTTAATTATGATTATTGGTCGTCACCAACACATCGTACCATTATTATTCCCCATAAATAGTATAAATCCATTTCTAATAGGAGTGTGAAACATCATGCTCATGTAGTCATGTTGTAACAAATCAAGCACCTATCAAAATCAATCTCTTCCTGACAAATACAATATTCAAATACCAAGTACCGGGAAATTCCATAATAAAACCGGTTTAATGGTGCAATTAATTGTCCAATAACCGAAAAACTCAGCTGGTTTAACAATTCTAACCGGTCAACGTAAAGGAGCAGTTGACCAGATCGTCCTCTCTTAAGCAGCAGATCGGAGAAAGTTTCAGTCTTCCAAATCCCGACCAACAACAACAAAACCCCAAAATCTCCGCTTCGAAAATGGGAGAGATGATGTACAAGCTCTTCGCTTCAGCGTCGCTACTAACCCTAGGATTGTATCATCTCATCTGCACTTTCTTCCATCTCCTCAAATCTCCTCAATCCTACGCCGCGAAACCCTTTTACCCTTTCCCTCGTCTCTCCTCCGTCACCGGAAACAACCACCACAATCACAACCGCCTCCAAAATCTACCATTGTTCACCCTCATACTCTCTCTTTTCGTCGCTTTCCTTCACGAAACCCTAATTTCCTTCTACTCCGATCCTCTTGTCAAAGGAAGTACTCCTGTTCACCGATTCTCCTCTCTCAATTCCGCCGCCGTGTTCTTCCTCTTCCTCCTCATCGCCGTTTACTATCTCCTCTCCGATTCAACCTCCTTAATCCCTCTGCCTTCCGATCTCCTCTTCGCACTCGCTTCCGTAGGTTTCTTCCTCCATTACTCAGCCGCATCTTCATCGGCTGCAATCCAAACATCGGATCTTCAAGCTCACTGTGATTCCCTCTCTGCTCGTATCTCCGCCTTATGCTCTCTCCTCTGCTTGCTTCTCGCTTGCCGTTCAAGACTCTTTATCGCTGACGCTGCTCTCGCTGCTGCCATTTGTCTGCAAGGTCTCTGGCAGCTTCAGACTGGACTCTCTCTCTACGTTGATGGGTTTATTCCTGAGGGATGTCATCGTCTTCTTGATGTTCAAAGCGGCGTTGAAGGATCAACCAAATGTGATATTCAGGACTCTAAGCTAAGAGCTGTCTCAATATTGGATCTAATGTTCACTGTGCACGTTGTCCTTGTGGTTATCCTCATCTTTGCGACCTACACGATGGTGGTGATGGCGGCGGGAGTGAGAAGAACTGGTTCTTATGAGGCTTTGCCCACCAATAATGCTGATTCTAATCACATTCAGATGAAGTCGTTGACCGGCACTCAGGCTTGAAACCTTATCAATCCTCTTGCTTTGCCTTTTTTTGTAAGCTCGAAACTTGTTGCTGCTTTACTTTGACAAGTTTTTTTTATCATGTTCTTTGTTCAATATAATGTTCAATCCTCGTATAGCTGCATGATGATGACTTGCTCTACTGAATTATGGTATATTCTTTGTTGATTGAGAATAGGATGGTAAGTGGTCACTTTAGCTGATGTCTCACTCTGTTCTATTTGGTTCATGGAATATTGTTTCTATCATGAGTCATGACCATTCTCATTTGGAATTTTGGTTAACGCAAACTCAGCCTCTCCTGGAGTGAAAGGCAGAGATGAAAGTATGGATGATGATAAAACTCTTAGATTGCATCGAAAACATGAAAAAGTATGTGACAACAACACAAGCCTTTGTTGGGGTCGGATTTCATCCCATAGCACCGAGCCGAACTTCGAACGCTTCGGGGAACTTCTGAAGACACCTCGGTGGAAACTGCCATTCACCTCGGGTCAAACTGTCATTCACCTCGGGTCGGACTGTCATTCACCTCGGGTCAGATTGCCACTCGCCTCGGGTCATCGCATCGATCACCTCGGGGAACACCCATAGTCTGCTCGGAATCTGTCAGCAGGCTTGTGAACCCGAGCCGGCTCCCTTCAAGCGCCCGAGCCGGATCACTTCGGGAAAACGAGCCGTTTTGTGTCAAGACCCCCCGAGCTGGATCTTTCCGTGAACCCGAGCCGACTTCCCTCGGGAGCCTAGGTCACGCCTCTCTTGTCCCCGAGCCGGTTGCGCAAGTTCTCCGAGGCGAAGTCTTCATCATCGCCCGAAGCAAAGACTTAGTAAATATTCTTCTCTAAAGATATCATTTCCAAGCAAGTTATCATTTCCGAAAAAGAAGGGTCATTTCCGATAAACTCGGAAATGATAAGGAAGAATCGCAAGGATCAACTCAAATCAGGAAATCTTCCGGAAAACTCCGAAGAATAAGGAAACTGTCCTAATCCGCGACATTCTGGCCGACTTCAAGATAAATGGAAATCTTCCGAGAATATCGCTGGAGAGGCGGTTTATCTCCCCTATATAAAGAGACTCAAGGCTCAAGCAAAGGGGGAGGCAATATCGCACTAGAAATTACACTACGCAAAGCTCTCACAGCACAAACACCTTTTTCTTTTACGATCAAACTCTTGTACGATCAAAATCATTCTTTTCATTAATAATATCAAGAACACCATCTTTGGTATCAATCGTTTCTGTTGTTCTTTGAGAATTCACGATTATCGTATCCCTAAAATAAAACCCTAGACAAATCTTGATTGTGTTAGTTTCGACTTCCACAGCCTTTATATAGCTTGGCAATCCCATGTCAAATAAGGCAAAGAAGAGGAACCCAAGGTATGTTTCTCATTTGCCTTCTTTGACATGGGACTAACAGACTAAGCTAAATGCTTGCGATGTTGTCACATCCTCTTTCATTTCGTCGCAAACTCTTTTTCAATGGAGTTTTTATCTTTATCCACATCATCTTCTTTGTCTTTCACAGCAGGCTGAGTTGGCTCTAACGAAAAACCAAAGATATGTTGAAATGGTTACAAACATTGGTTGCAATATACAGACTATGTTACTCTTTTAAGTTACTGGAAAAGATACTTGTTTTAACGCTAACAGTGAGTGTGCAGTTGGAAGCCTAACGACAAAAAGCTGTCTTGAACATTGGATCTTATTATGGGCCCAAGCATAGGCCCAGATTTGTCAAGTACTGTATATTTGTATGCTTTGATAGCTTGAAATCTGGAGGAGCGCGTGGTAAGGGAAATGGTGAAACTTAGTGGTAAGTTTGGAAAAATGATAAAAGGATAAAACAATCAAATGTAGCTTGAAACGGCCATAACATAAAGTACCTTATGGTGGTGCGAATATTTATGTGTTTTATTGCTGAAAGCTACGACACTTGTCTTAATATATTGTTTCCGTAAGTCACATGACCTACTTTTTATTTGACGTCTAGAAACGCCGCGATAGATGATGATTAGTAAGTATATCACGATAATGCAAATTGTCTGTTCGTGTTTGGCCAAAAGATATCGAGACATGTCTGATGAACCGAGTCTGCAGGTTTTAAGATATTTCTTCAAAACATTATACAATGGAAAAAGGAGACACGCGAATATGATAACAGCAAAAGGCAACAAAAGGAGAAATTAAAGAGAAACGTAAAGTGATTTGGCCTCAATCAACGGGAACGTATCTTAATTTTAGAGGTTCTTCTTTTACTTTTGAGACGAGAGAGTTTGCGAGCTGCTTTGGTTGACTAAACGATATCTTAGTGAAACCAAAACAACAACGGAGGAATATTTGTCACAGTTTACACATTCACATTGTTTCCTTAACGTTTAATCAACCTTGTTCAAATTTTGAAGTTGCAATCATCACCGTTTTTCAAAAAACTTTTTTGAATAAGTTTTGGAACTTTAGATAGAGTAAAAATAAAATATGAGTTGAGGCAAAAGAGGAGTGGACCCGGGCAGATTGTGAAATGTGATCATCTAAACCAGCCAGACGTATCCACTTGTTCTCTCCAGCTTTATGAATTTCCTTAGCCAACACCATCATTGTGCTTGTAGTATATATATATAACCCTTCCTTCATCTCTCACATTTTCCATTCTCCATATAGACTCCTTTATAATAATATACAAAACATAGGAAGATCCAAAAGCGAAGAAGCCAAGCAAACACATAAAAAATGAAGAAGGCGGCAGAATTCGTGAAGCAGATAATAAACATGTTGAGTGGTCTAGCAAAGGACAAGACAAAGGAGCTTAAGAGGAAGACAAGAGCCTTCAAGACACGTCTCGTAATATTCTCGCTGCTTCACAACAGACACATGGTGGTGAGCTCTTTGTCACACAAGCTCAAGAGCAACCCAACATCAAAAAAGATAGATCATGATAACAAGGATGATGAAGATCATCATGATCAAAACATGGTGGTGGTGTATAGTCACAACGTTAACGCTATGTCTAGTACTCCTGTCTCTCCGCATGTACAATATCAATATACGGAGGAGGAAGAAGATAAAGAAGAAGAAGAGGAAGAGGAGGAGGAAGAAAAGTATCCAGACTTGAGACACTCGTTGTTTGAGGCAGAGGGTTCGGTGATAGAGATGGTGAAGCACTCCAAGGAGGACAATGGAGAAGAGTTTCGGTTGGAAGACGAGATTGACAAAGTGGCTGATCTTTTTATTACCCGCTTCCACCGACAGATGTGGTTGCAGAAGCAACTGTCGTTCGAGAGTCCAGATACATCCTCCCCATTCCATTCTTAAGATACATATGTTTGATGCCCTCCTTGTTTTTTTTTGTGGCGAAGGATTCAATGATCCTTATAGTTTTTGTTTACGTAGTGAAATATGAAAACGGGACATGTTTATTAATTTCCTTCAACCTGTACCTAAAACGTCCCTTCTTCCTTCAATCTTCTTGACTAATAAAATACAGTTATTTTTTCTTCATGTTATTATTGTTTGTGTGATTAATTCAGCACTTGGCGACCACGGGTCCACAGCGACCATCATTCATCGTTTCCATGGTCTACTAAATTTTAACACGGACTCATATATATACGAATTGCAGACCTGAATTTCCAGCTCATTAAAGCCTCTTAAGGCCCAATTACCGATATAAACAAGGCCCGTTCTCCGTTCCGTGTGAACGATGCCGTTTCATCTTTCCCCTTCTTCTCCGGTCCTCATGCCTGCGTCTCTATCGTTGGGGTGGAAATGCTAAGGCTTTTTTTTTTTTTTTTTTTTTTTCTTTTTTGATGCTGATTGGTTGATAATTATAGCTGGTTTCTCTGAATAATCTAGTTTGTATGTACATCTTTATATACAATTTAATTTTTTTGCGGATTAATTTAGGATTATCTGTTTAGTTGAGGAGACAACAGACAAGGATTTATCTTTATCCGTTGTTGGTCCATGTGGTAGTTGTTCTTGTTAGTTAGACACAAAAAAATCATAATGTGGGCTCTGAAATGTGATGAGATTGAAAGGTTGATTGTGTTATTCATTTACGAGTAAAGTTGCTTCAGCGAAGTAGAAACCAAAGAGAAAAGGGAACAAATTCTCAGGTGCTCTCCAAGAGTGTTTAGTCTATAGTTCACACATCTTGGAACTAGAAAAGCTTTTTGTTCTTTGATTTCAGCTTTGTTCATTATTTGAGAAAATGCACTCTGGTTATTTCTTTCTTGATGTTTTTCAGTTTTCTGTATACATATGAACTTGTAATTGTTTTCGTTATCTATAATGTGCTTGAACAGTTTTAATCTCTGTGTTTCTGTCCCTGGTGAATCGCACATGGTTCCAGTCATGTGATGATGTCTCTGTTGTAGCCCCCCTCTGGAAACTTGAACCTTTTTGGTTTGTTTTTCCCCAAAATCTATCTTTACTGATTTATTATCCCATTTATCAGGTCGGTTTGGATTCTACAGGGACACTGTGAAAGCTTCCAAGCAGATATGATGCTATTTTGAGTCAAATAGTATTTCTTTATTATCTTCTGCCCACAGATCTTAAACGTAAAAGCATCCAAAGATGCATTAATTAACATGGGGATGAGGTCCATGTGCCTCTGCAACACCTCTTCTGCAATCACATTCTGTTGCTTCCCTAAGTTACTGCTGCCAACATTGAAAGAAACCCCAAAGTGCAGTGATTATAATAATCAGATATTTTGTTAAGACTTAAGAGCAAGCTGATTAATGGCTATATATAGAAATGTCCGCGCAGTGTTTGTTTGGTGTGATGAGAGTGAGAATGGGTCGTCTTTCATCAACTCTCTGCCTCACCTTTCTGGTTATGGCCAAAGTTGCATTTGGTGTACCTCCTAAAAAGTCCATTAATGTTCCATTTGGAAGGAACTACTTCCCCACTTGGGCTTTTGATCACATTAAGTATCTCAACGGTGGTTCTGAAGTGCATCTCGTCCTCGACAAGTACACTGGTGAGTTTTGCTGCCTTCTATATTTCTCTGTCTCAAAATTTACTGTCCACTTCTTCTGATTGTTCTTGTTCGATGCACAAAGGCACTGGCTTTCAGTCCAAAGGTTCCTACTTGTTTGGCCACTTCAGTATGCACATAAAGATGGTTGCTGGTGACTCTGCCGGAACTGTGACCGCCTTCTATGTAAGCAAAGTCATTACTAAATTATTTGGAACATCTTCTTAAGTGCCAACTGAAATTATAGTTGTATTTTGCGTTTTTTTGTGCAGTTGTCATCGCAGAACTCAGAACATGATGAGATAGACTTTGAGTTTCTTGGGAACAGAACTGGCCAGCCTTACATTTTGCAGACAAACGTGTTTACAGGAGGCACTGGAAACCGTGAGCAGCGGATCAACCTCTGGTTTGATCCTTCCAAGGACTACCATTCCTATTCAGTTCTCTGGAACATGTATCAGATTGTGTAAGTTTGCCTTCCTCAAAAGTGTTATTTCTACTCACATCTAAGTGTATCGATCGATGTATATAACACAACAAAGCTGTACAACAGGTTCTTTGTGGATGATGTGCCGATAAGAGTGTTCAAGAATAGCAAAGACATTGGGGTGAAGTTTCCGTTCAACCAGCCGATGAAGATATATTCGAGTCTGTGGAATGCAGACGACTGGGCCACAAGGGGAGGGTTAGAGAAGACCAACTGGGAAAAAGCTCCTTTCGTCGCATCCTACAGAGGCTTCCACGTCGATGGATGTGAAGCTTCAGTGAATGCTAAGTTCTGCGAGACCCAGGGAAAACGTTGGTGGGATCAGAAAGAGTTCCAGGACTTGGACGCTAACCAATACAAGCGTCTCAAATGGGTTCGTAAGAGATACACCATCTACAATTACTGTACTGACCGCGTCCGATTTCCTGTGCCTCCTCCAGAGTGCCGCAGAGACCGCGACATATAGTGCTTATCTGGATTTTTTTTCAGATGGATAGCAAGATTTCCTACTTTTTATATGTTTTTTCGTCTTACAAGTTAATCTAGAAAAGTTTGAATTGTGACAACGGTGCATTTGACGTGACTTAAATGAAACCGAGAAATGAGTTTCCCTGACTGGTTATACAACCTCAACAAACTCATTGTCAGTTTGGCATGGAATCAGGAGACAGTACAAGAAATGAGGCTCTTGTCAGTTTGGCATGGAATCAGGAGACAGTTCAAGAAACTCATTGTTAAGCGACAACAAATAAATCCATAATAGATACGTTTTACGGTTTAGTTAAGACAAAGACAATAAACTTTACGTCTAAAACATAAGACTAAAATCTTTATTTATAGTAAATAGCCATGGATTCAAAAAGAATTAGGAAAATAGCTATGAGCTATAGTACTTTGTCTGTTGGATGTTGGAAAGCACGTGTAATTACACACATGCCCTTTATAACATGTTTTTTTCTCGAATTACATGTGATAGAATAATATATCTCTTTTTATCATACTATTTTCCGGTTTTACACGTTATTTATAAAGAGCACATGATATTTTTTGAAAAAACACTCTATTCAGTTTAATATATTTCTCTATCATGTTATTTTATAGTAATACACGTTTTTTATTATGATCACATGTGATTTTCTTTAAAAAAAGATTCTTATTTTCTAGTAATTCACGGTTTTTATTAAGATCACATGTTATTTCTTTGAAAAAACACTCTATTCAGTTTAATATCTTTCGCTATCATGTTATTTTGTAGTAATACACATTTTTTTATTATGATCACATGTAATTTCTTTAAAAAACGATTCTTATTTTCTAGTAATTCACGGTTTTTATTAAGATCACATGTTATTTCTTTATAAAAGATTCTATTCAAGTTTAATTTTTCCGTAACAATGTTTTATTTAAAAAAAAACTACGTAACAATGTTTTTTCTTAAAAATTCACTACGTTTTTTTAAATAGCATGTATTTTAGTTAAATATAACATGTGAAATTTAGATCTTACGTGCTATTTTGAAAAATATCACGAAACAATGTCGCCTACTGTAGATCTCAAAACAAACGGAGGATGGTTTTGTTATTTCACCTCTTCAGACAAGGTGGGTCCATGCTGTTTTCCGACAGAATTTTCTCTCTCTCCTAGTTTCTTAATTTATTTGTCAAATTTGGCTAGTTAGTAATATTACCCTTTATTTTAATCATCTGCAATTTCATTATGATTAATCAAAATGTTTTACAATGAGAGTTTGGAGTTTGGACAATGCATCTTGAAACATAAAAGTGAAATACAAAATGACAATCGGTTCTCTAGCTAATGATAGAATGAATTTTTTAAAATGAAAACTAGATTGTTTTTTAAATTTTAGGATTCTTATTAAATTTCAACTCTTAAGACTTTGTTTTTGTTTGGGTCAAAGTTTTGGTTTAGGTGCAGAATATTGGAATTTGAAATTTAGACTATTTTATTACTTTTGAAGAATTTTACATTATTTTTTCCCACAACTATTTGATCCAGTGTCAATCAATTCGCTGAATCGGAGTAACGAAGAAGTCGTCATCTGTCGTCGTCTTCAAGTAATCGGAATTTGACTTGCCAATGGCTCCTCCTCCGGCGAAGATGCAAGAGATCCACCAATTCCTTTCCTCCGCACTCTCCCAACGTGGCCCTTCCGCTCTCCCCTACGACGAGACCACCAAGTCGCTAATCCGTCAACACCTCCTTAACCTAATCTCTTCCTACACTTCCCTAGACCCGAAAACGGCGACGTTTACACACAACGATGGCCGATCCGTGATCCTTCTCCAAGCCGACGGCACAATCCCGATGCCTTTCCAAGGCGTCAACTACAACATCCCCGTCGTGATCTGGCTCCTCGAATCTTACCCTCACTATCCTCCTTGCGTTTACGTGAACCCTACGCGCGACATGATCATCAAGCGACCTCACACTAATGTCTCTCCTTCTGGACTCGTCTCTCTTCCTTACCTTCAAAATTGGGTTTACCCTAGCTCCAATCTCGTAGATCTCGCCTCTCATCTCAGCGCCGCCTTCTCCCGTGATCCGCCGCTTTACTCTCAGCGCCGTCCTCCTCCGCAACCGTCTCCTTCCATCGGATCTGGATACTCGAGACCTCTTAATCCTTACCAGACGGATGGTGCGGCGGAGGTTTATAAGAAGAACGCGATCAACAAGATTGTTGAGATGGTTCATGGTGATCTTGTATTGATGAGGAGTGCTAGAGAAGTGGAGACGGAAGGATTACTGAGTTTACAATCTGGACTTAAGAGAAGAGAAGAGGAGATCAACAATGGTTTGAAGGAGATGGTGAATGAGAAAGAGACCTTAGAGCAGCAATTACAGGTTATTGCCATGAATACTGATGTTCTTGGTTCTTGGATTAGGGAGAATCAAGGGAAGGCTAAGAATTTGCTAGTAGATTTGGATGTTGGTGATGCATTTGAATGCAGTGAGACATTGTCCAAACAGATGTTAGAGTGTACTGCACTGGATTTAGCCATTGAAGATGTTGTTTATTCCATGGATAAATCGTTTCGAGATGGTTCGTTGCCGTTTGATCAGTATTTGAGGAATGTGAGGTTGTTGTCGAGGGAGCAGTTCTTCCACCGAGCCACGGCTGAGAAAGTTAGGGAGATACAGATGGATGCTCAGGTTGCTTCCATTGCAGCTAGGTTGCACTCGTGAAAACTTGGGCAAGTATTTTTGGTGATTACTATTTCTATTCGATTTTATTGTCTATAGGAATCTACACTATACACCAGTGCGTATACAAAGTTGAAATCGATCACGTTTTGGGTTTATCTTCTCTGTCATCAATTTGTTTCTCCTTCTGCAATTCCCATCTCTCAAACTCTCATTTGGTCTCTCTATAAGACAATAGTCCTGTTAAACACTTAAACTCATGACTTCCACTCGAACTATATCTACACGATTTAGCAAAAGTTTCAATTTCTGGAGGCTTCACTATTATCGAAAGAAAAATGAAACACTTGCAATTCTCTTGATAGGATGATAAGTGAATAAACAGTATAAACTCACGAAAATCCACTCAAATTGAAATTGTAAATATGAAATGAGTCCAAACTTATGGTATATAATGATACAACATGCAAAATCACTTGAAAGGAAAAGGGAAAACAAAACACAAAAAAAAACACGAAAACCACATCAAAGTAGAAAAAGTTTCAGATTTAGGTGGTAAGCTCCATGATGGCAGAGACTATATCTCCATTAGCGGCCTTAAGAGCTTTAACTGCCCTTGGCTTAGAAACTCCTGCTTGGGTCATCACCAGCTCGATGTCCTTTGGCTCTACTCCCTCCTCGTCCACCTCTTCATCATCATCCTGAACAGCAGCTGCAGCTGCAGCACTCGATGTTTCTCCCTGTGAAATCACATTGCTGAGGTTAGGAGCCTTGAACTGCTCTGCGGCCTGACTCTGAAGCTGGGAGCTCAAATCCTCTATCTTGGCCTCACCAAAGATCACATATGTATCTGATGCTGGACTCTTGAACACATCAGGTTTTGATATCACAAACAAGATCTGCATTTTTTCAATCCGCATTCTATCAATAAATTTTGAAACATAGGAAACAATGAACACAACAAAGATTGGATTGTCAGAAGACCACAAACATTCTTGCTCTTTTTGACGGTGACACGGCTAACACCAGTGATGGGTTTCATCCCAAGCTTCAACATCGCTTTACGACTCTTTTTCTCACTTCTGCTTTGTTTTGACCGGCCGCCGGCCTCTCCATCATGTCCTGGTTTACAAAAAATCATAGGGGCTGTCATGACTCAGCTTATAAGAATTGATACCGAATTCCTTATTCTATATTTACAAGAGGAATCAAACATTCACCAATCAGTAGCATCTACCAAACACAGGTCTCCAGCTAATGATTCGTACAATTCCAGGATGATAAGATGGATTAAACAAATAGGCAAATTACAACAACGCTACAGATTTTCATCAAATAGACATATCTGCTACTCCTCGACACGAAAGTAAATTCAAGTTCAACATAGCTGCCCGAGTTATAAAAGACATGAATGGAACTAACCACATCAAAATTCGAAACATCTAGCATTTTGGCATATAAATTTATAGAATGCGGCGGCTTCCACACATAGTGTTGCAAGGAGACATTAAATGCATTTGTGGACTCTAATAATGAATAGAAGATACTTACCATCCTCCGCCTCGTCATCGTCGTCGGAATCATCCTCATCATTGTCATCATCGTCTTCAACCTCAGGCTTATCAAGCTACAATTCCAGATCAGAAGAAATTAGATATTTGTCGACTTAAGCAATGCGACAATCGATATATGTTCATGGAGTTCTTCAAAAGAAGATTCAGATCTAAAATTGGTAACTCCAGTGTTTAAAAAATCTAAACCAGTAACTTAGATCGATTTAGGAAGAAATCAATAATATGAATCCAGCTCAATCATTTTCAGACTTTGAGATAACAAGACAAAAAAAAAAAAAGGGTAGAACAAGAGAGATCATCATTACATCGATCTTCTGTTCTTCCAATTTGGCGGCGAGCTCCTCTTTCTGTTCGGCAGTCATGATTGAGAGAGAGAGAGAGAATTATCGGTGAGTGACGAAACCCTAAAACCCCTTGGAAAGATGGAATTGATTGCTTCCAAGATAAAAATGGTTAAAACTCGTTTTGAAGTAAGTGCACCGAGTCGGGTTTGGTTTATAGTTTTTATGTATCCTAAACCAGAAAATAGACTCGAAATTTTGGGGACCAAACCGGAAAGGACAAGACAGATGGTTCCAAAACTAAATAGTCAATAAAATCCGCCGTCTGTGGGGATCGAACCCACGGCCACGTGGTTAAAAGCCACGCGCTCTACCACTGAGCTAAGACGGCTTTGATGTTTAAATATCCAGATTGATTAAATTAAACTAAACTCGTTATTTAGTTAATTTAATTATCCAGATTGATCTTCTTCCACGCTAGGACCAAAGATCTGACCGTTGGAGCATGAACTCCACAAATCCGATGAGACATGGTTTCTTTCATAAATGTACATATTTTAATCAGATCCCGCTCCTATATACTATTATATAATCTCTCCCACCACCAAAATTTGACCGTTGGAGAACATTACTCTTTGCAAAAGAAGGAAAAAAATAAAAAAAAGAGATAAGCTCTCTTTGATTCTTTTGCAATCTTCTCCTTCGGTTGTTCCTTGTCTCAATCTCTGACCAAACCAACACTTCCAGTGATTTTGAATAGAACCCAGAAATGGCATCGCCACAGAGTACCAAAACCGGCTTGAATCTACCCGCAGGGATGAACCAGACTTCGTTGCGCCTGGAGACGTTTTCGAGCTCATTTCGTGGGATTTCGAGTTTATCCTCGCCGTCTAAATCCACTTGCAGCGACAGATTCATACCGTGCAGATCTTCTTCGAGACTCCATGCTTTCGATCTGCAGGATAAGGAACCGACTACGCCTGTTAAAGAGGGAGGGAACGAAGCCTACTCCAGACTTTTGAAATCTGAGCTTTTTGGATCTGATTTTGCTTCTCCTTGTTTGTCTCCTGCAGGTCGTCAAGGATCTGCTTCTTCTCCGATGAGTCCATGTACTAACATGTTGAGATTCAAGACGGATCGTTCCAATTCAAGCCCTAGTTCGCCGTTTTCTCCTTCCATTCTCGGAAATGATAATGGTCTCTCCAGTGACTCGTCTCCGCCTCCGAAACCGCCTCGCAAGGTTCCTAAAACACCTCATAAGGTATTATATCGTTTAGATCTATCTAATCTGTTTATGTGATGTCATTACAGATTCATGAGAGGTAGAAATTAAAGTTTTTGTTTTGTTGTGGTCTCAGGTCTTGGATGCTCCTTCCTTACAAGATGACTTCTACTTGAATGTTGTGGACTGGAGCTCACAGAATGTTCTTGCGGTTGGGCTTGGTACTTGTGTCTATCTTTGGACGGCTTCCAATAGCAAAGTGAGTGTTTTGATATACTTGACTAGTTTTAAGATTTGCATAATGTTTTTGGTTGTGGTGGATTCATTTAACAGTGACTTTATTGGTTAGGTGACGAAGTTATGCGACCTAGGGCCTAATGACAGCGTGTGCTCGGTTCAGTGGACACGGGAAGGTTCATATATATCTATTGGTACAAGTCATGGTCAGGTTCAGGTGTGTTGTTGTTTACCTTCCAATCTGTGGTTGTTGAAAGTTTTGTTTGGATGCATTGAAGTTGCTAAAGGTTTAATTTTGCTGGCAGGTTTGGGACGGAATACAGTGCAAGAGAGTCCGAACCATGGGAGGTCATCAGACGAGAACTGGTGTCTTGGCATGGAACTCAAGGATCTTATCATCAGGGAGCAGAGACAGAAACATCCTTCAACATGATATCCGAGTCCAGAGCGATTATGTCAGCAAACTCGTGGGGCACAAATCTGAAGTCTGCGGTCTGAAATGGTCTCACGATGATAGAGAGCTTGCGTCTGGAGGCAATGATAATCAGGTGATCTTCAGCATATATAAGCTTATTCGGTGCTCTACAATCTCTGTGTTCCATATAATCAGAGCAAAAGCTATGAACTGCTTTTCTTGTTCCAATTCACCAGGCCAAAGAGAGTTGGTTAATGAGAGACTTTCAACTGCTCTCTAACCAATTCACAACAGCTTTAATCTCCTAACTACAATAGACCTTTAGCTAAGATTTGACCTGTTGAACTTCTTTGAAGCTTATCATATTAACAAATATTGGTGGGTATTTTTTTTTTTTGAAACAGTTATTGGTCTGGAACAATCATTCACAGCAACCTATTCTGAAGCTGACTGAGCATACAGCAGCGGTTAAGGCAATTACATGGTCTCCTCATCAGAGCAGCCTCCTTGCTTCAGGAGGTGGAACCGCAGACAGATGCATTAGATTCTGGAACACGACAAACGGACATCAGTTAAACAGCATTGACACTGGGAGCCAGGTCTGCAATCTGGCATGGAGCAAGAATGTTAACGAGATAGTGAGCACTCACGGGTACTCTCAAAACCAAATCATGCTCTGGAAGTACCCATCCATGTCAAAGGTACATAGTTTATTTCACACTTGAAAGCTCATTTCGTGATCTTTGTCTCTCTTCTACTATATATAAACTGACGCATCAACCGATGATTGTTTTCTGTAGGTTGCAACACTTACTGGCCACAGTATGAGAGTACTTTACTTGGCTACGTCACCTGATGGCCAGACTATAGTGACCGGAGCAGGAGATGAGACCCTGCGGTTTTGGAACGTCTTCCCTTCAGTGAAAATGCAGGTTTGTATTCTTTTTCGAGTTTTGGAATCCCTTCAGACCAGAATCAGATCTTCCAGCTCTTTCTGCTCAGTTGAGTGATGACCATTTTTGTGTTTACAGACACCAGTGAAGGACACAGGTCTATGGTCATTGGGGAGGACACAGATCCGATAAATAACAGTGTCAACCTTAATTTGTTCAATTTGTTCACACGCAACAACCCCTGCATTCTATTTATTCAATTTGTTCTTTTCCTTTGTAAACTACATAATCCAAGAAAATACTGAATACATCAATTAAAAAAGTGTTACCATTGGATTTCCATTGTATATGAAAGCTTTTACTATCGAAATCCCTGGCAAATCAAGTAAATTTCTCGAGATGATGATCTTGTAGCTTTTGGCCTCAACCAAGACGCCTTGTTAAAGATAGGCTTGCAAATTCGAGCAAAATCTAAACAAATAGACACAGTGTCAATGTAAAGAAGAAGCATTTTTTCAATTGTATTGTAGTTGGACTCTATGTTACAGTTCTTTCCCGTACCTTGAGCGTCCTCGCTCTCTAGAAGCTTGATTACAAGATGACCCCCATGCCTAAGTACACCACGACGACTTTCGTTGCTTGGAACCTCATCGCCTCCATCATTATCATCATCAGGTGACTGAGAGATAGCAGCTTGACCAACAGCCAAATCAAGTGCACGCATTCCCAATTCAGCAGACAGAGCTGCATCTCTAGTGGTAATTCCAGATACTGAGTGACACATATCTGAAAGAATGACTGAAAATCCCAATTGCTGCACCACAGAGCAATCCATAACTTGTGTTACAACAGTTTTATAAAAAACAAAAACATCAACCATGGTCAGGGAAACCAAGTCCCCAACCCCAACATACAGTTCATGAACAAGAAAGATCCTAACTTTTCATGACTATTGCTGTTATCATCAACAAATAGAGGAGATAAAGTCACAGAGACAGTTTCCAATCATGAATTCTAATAATCACCTGAGGCGATAACTCCCGAATCGTTTGTCTGGGAAAGTTTAAAACATCGGCGGCAATGGTTTGCACTCGAGAATCACACTGTGGAGGAACCTTCACCTTCTGCTCTGAAATTAAAAAAAAAAAGCTCATGGATTCACACAGTTTAGAGCATAAAGACTACATTTTTGAAGCTTCCTCTGACCTTTATATCCATACCGACGACAATTCCACCACTTTTAAGTGGACCTAAGCTTTGGCAAGCAACCTGAACAGAAGCATAGCAACAAATTCAAGATTAAGCCTCTTTACACAGAATTCGAAACTTGGAATTGATGGAATCTAAAAAAAAAAGACCTGAAGCCAAGCACCAGGCGCGCAACCCAGGTCAAGAACAGAGGAGCCTGGTTTGATGAGCTTGTACTGTTTTTGAATCTGTAGAAGCTGTAGTTGCAGAGAGAGAGAGAGAGAGATAAAGAGAAGAGTCAATGTAAGAAGAAGGAGACGAAGCAGAAGAGGGCATGAATGTAATTATGACCTTGAAAGCAGAGCGAGCAACATAGCCAAGACGTTGAGCTTCCCTGTAGAAAAAGTCCGGCACACCTGCCCCACTCATCTCCTCCGGCGCCGACAACAACCGATTTCTTCTGCTTCCCTTTTTTGTTTTACCAAAACCTTATAAACCGGGTTTATTGAACCATATAAAATGCCTCGAGCTATTTCATTAACCAATGTAATTTAAAATTTTGCCTATATCAAATAATACCGCAAAACGTATTCATCTCCTATATACTATACATCAAAGATATGTACAGTATATTAAACTTGACTAAACCAATAGATGTTCGATTTTACAGAGTTTAGATTGACATTAACAATTTGACCTATATGTCAAAAAATATTCAAGGATGCAAAGACTAAGATAAACCAATAGAAATTTAAATTAGAGAGGTTCTTAAATATGTGAGTACTCATCTAATATATGATAAACTAATGTTATATCGGTGAAATCCATTGGAACTTGGACTATTTACTTGATTGTCTTGTAATTAATTTTGTTTTACAGCAATGCATTATGCATGTAATCATTTTTCTCAATTTGAAAGTTGTATTAATTTAACATGAAATAGTATTAGCTAAATCCAGAAAAGAAAACTCAAATTTTCCAAAAGCAAAAATTCATTAAAAATTTAAAGACAAAATTCATTAAAAATAATTTTAAAACTGATATTCATTTTCAATTTGGTGTTAAGTGTAAAAAAAATACATAATTTTGTTTATGGAAATAAATACATTAATGTATTGTTGACATTATGTAAATTTCTTAAGATACGTTTCCATTTGTGGTGCAAAATAGCGAACATACATTAATGTATTTGGAGATTTTGTAATCTCTTTAAGATATCTTTCTATATAAGGTGAAAAATAACGAAGATGAGAAAACACATGGCACAATTGTATCCTTAAGGTGATAAATTTTGTGTATATAAAAAGACTTGAAACTCGTTAAAACGATAACAAGGATAAGATATGGAGGCTGAATCTACTAGTTCTGGACATCGACGACAGAAACGTCCACGGCAGAGGAGATCGTCGGAGGTGATCAGTTATGAGAACAGCGTTGCAAATCTGTCAAAGGAAGGTAAAGAGACGTTGATGATTGTGAGTCGCAGAAGGCAACTGAATAAAATCCCAAATACGTCTTGTACTGTGTTTGATAATACGTGTCCTCGTTACAACTGGCTTCGTTCTGGTTGGATCGCTGAGGAGCGTCTTAAGCCCCATGACCGACTTTACCGGGTAATTATATTATTCTTTTCTTTTGATATATCGTCTTGTGATGGAAAATTAATATGCTATCAACTAAGTGATAATAGTTTAGCTGTTAGCTTAGCTTCATGTAGATTTAGATATTTTCTACTAGACTCACTTTCTTATTGTCACCGCAAAATTCACAATTCATGAGTTTTAAGAATTAGTTATCTTTGCCAACTCTTAGTTTTTACTTCATATCTGATTTTTCATATATATATATGTATAATACGTTTTAATCATTTAATTTCAATGTGTATTATATAACATGTTTTAATATTCATTTAATTTCAATGTGCAGTATTTTTACGATCCTTTAGGGCAAATGTATGGTACTCGGGGAGAAGTGGATCAAATCTATGCAGATATTGAAAAATCGCGCGCAATAGTCGTTTTCGACAAGTAATCTATTTTGTAGACTTAAGTTGTTGTGAATTGATGAATTTATGGCCATATTATGTAAACGGCCAAAATTTTCAAATCCAGATTATTTTAGATAAAACAAATTATGTATTTTTTTTTTGTATGAAAATCAATCAAGGATCTCATTGTTTGGTGTTTATTTAAATTGCTCTTGCTTTTTTTTTTTGGTTACTATTATATTGTGTTTTCAAAATTAAATTTGGTGTTTTACAGCTAAAACAATAATTTGAGAGGGAGTTGCTAGTTAGGGACTATATATATATATATATATATATATTTTGGTCAAATAGTTAGGGACTATATTTAATCAATAATTTTACATCTTGGTTTTTAGGAATCAAAGTGTAACTAACCTATTATGTAACAAAGTTGCAACTAGGCCTGGGCGTTCGGTTGTTATAACTTCTACCCAATAGATAATGAAATGCTTTGAAAACGATATAATCATTGACAAAAAAATTCAATAATTGGTAATACTTTTCAATTACGTTTTTGGGAGTAAAATATATGTTCTGAATTTTGTAATGTGTCTTTAAAGAGCCAAACTTCCAACTTCTGGCAGAAACACACTCTGTTTCTCAATTTTCTAAATTTGAAATGGAATTAAAAATATTTGTTCAATAATTTGGTAATATATATGTTCATTTTCATGAATATCTGAGTTTCGATTTGAACTCAAATAGAGTAGTTGGATCGAGCAACAAAGACTGAAACAAGAGTAGCCACACATGATTCTTCAACTTGAAAGATTTATGTACCAGTGTGAGCATTTTAGATGTTTGTTTGAGTAATGTGTTTATTTTTGTATACGTATTAGCATTTTTTTAATGTTTGTATCAGTGTGAGAACAAAAGTTACGTTTGTGTGCATCAGTGCATGTTTACCTTTAGTGTATGTGTTCGGGTAATGCGTTTATGTGTATGTGTTTTGTGTAATGCGTTTATGTGTATGTTTATGTTTAGTGTTTGTGTTCGTCTAATGCGAACTGTATATGTGGGAGTTAAAATATATTGGAAAAGAGAGAGCTAGTAGTGAGTACACTACACAATCAAGTAAGAAATAATTAAGGAAATGTAGCATATAATGATATAAGTAAACAATAAGAAAAGACAGAAGTAAGCAGAGAGGAATCAAGGAAGCAAACAATACATTAAGGAAATAAAGAAACAAGCAATGCACTAAGAAAATGAATTAAAGAATCAAATAAACAAAGCAATAGAGAATCAAATAAACAAAGCTAAGCATGTAAAGAATCAAATAAACTAAGCAGAGGAATCAAACAAGCAAAGAACCAAGTAAAGCACTAAGCACAGGAATTATCAAACAAGCTATCAAACAAGCAAACAAACAAGTAATGCACTAAGCAGAGTGATCAAACAAGCAAAGAGACAAGCAATGCACTAAGCAGAGGAATCAAACAAGCAAAGAAACAAGGATTTCATTGTTTGGTGTTTATTTAAATTGTTCTTATTTGTTTTTTTTTTGGTTAGTTTTATATTTTGTATTCAAAATCTAATTTGGTGTTTTACGGCTAAAACAATAATTTGAGAGGGAGTTGCTAGTTAAGGATTTTATTTAATCAATACTGTAATTTTCTTGGTTTTATGAACCAAAGTGTAACTAAGTTTTAACCACAATCAGTAATAGATGTGATTAGAACTTAGAACACAGTAAGGCAAGCAGAGACTAATTTATTCTTCTATAGCCTAAGATTTATAAGAGATGTACATTAACATAAAAAAAAAACTTACAAAACATAAGTAGAATCTAGTTAAAGAAGAAATACATACCTCCTCGCCCAGACGACAGATTCTTGTAGTAATGCAGCGTTTTGAATATTTTAAACGTATAGTCAAGACTCAGCAAGACAGAGAATTAAATACTAAATTCATATAGTATCATCCGTATTTAATAGAGATTCAGCAGTAGTTTGAATTTCACATTCTTGGGATGTCTTTAGACAATCCTTACAAGCAGAACATTGAACGTTATTATGCTGCCCCAGCCACAGCAAACTATCTTTTAATAGAGACAATCGAACTATAGAGATAGATTTCTCGAATCCTTTACTTACGGACATAGATCGACAAGCATATGATCTTAGCTTCTGTTAGGCAACATCGGACTATGCTGTCCCAGCTCCAGCAATATATATTTAATCGGACAATTGCCTTATTAAAGGACTTTTATTCTCCATCAGTTTGCAGAACATTGAACTGTATCGTTTAAGCAGAGGATTGAATTTCTCAGAACATCATTGTTCAAGCCTTAATAAAGACTGACCATAGCAGAATTTTGAAGGTTATATCAAGCTGTCCCAGCACAGCAAGACATAGATTGACAAGCATATGTTACTATGAGCAGAACATTGAACGTTGTTGTGCTGCCCAGCCACAGCAAACTATCTTTTAATACACAATCGAGATTCCAACCTCGGAACACCATCAAACATAAGTCCTATTAAAGAACATTTATGCTCCATCAATTTGCAGAGTATTGAATTTCATATCTCAGTGAGATGTATAGTTTAAGCAGAGATTGACGTTCTATATAGCAGAATATTGAATGTTAATGCTGTCCAGCAATATATCTTTAATCGGGCAATTGCCTTATCAAAAGGACTTTTATTCTCCATCAAGTAGCAGAATATTGAACTGTATCGTTAAAGCAGAGAATTGAATTTCTCAGGACATCATTGTCCAAGCCTTAATAAAGGCTGATCTTAGCAGAGATATTTGAAGTTTATATCAAGCTGTCCCAGTCCAGCAAGACAATAGAGCTATTATTTGTAGAGATTGATTTCTCTAATCCTTTACTTACGGACATAGACTGACAAGCATATGATCAAACTACGGACATAGATTGACAAGCATATGATCTTAGCTACGGACATAGATCGACAAGCATATGATCTAGCTTTTCTGTTTGGCAACATCGGACTATGCCGTCCCAGCTACAGCAATTCATCTTTAATCGAACAATTGCCTTATTAAAGGACTTGAATTCTCCATAAACTTGCAGAATATTGAATTCTATAAGCAGAGAATTGAATTTCTCGGGACATCATTGTCCAAGCCTTAATACAGGCTGATCTTAGCAGAAATTTTGAACTTTATTTCAAGCTGTCCCAATACAGCAAGACAATAGAACTATAGAGACTGGTTTCTCCAATCTTTTACTTACGGACATATATATCGACAAGCATATGATCTAGCTTCAGTTAGGCAACATCAGATTATGCTGTCCCAGCAACAGCAACATATATTTAATCGGACAATTGCCTTATTCATATCTTTTAAGCAGAGAAATAAATATCTCGGAACATCACTGTTCACGCCTTAATAAAGGCTGCAGAATTTTGAAGTTCATGTCAAGCTGTCCCAGTACAGCAAGACATAGATTGACAAGCATATGAACTTAGCTTCTGTTAGGCAACATCGGACTATGCTGTCCCAGCTACAGCAATATATCTTTAAACGGACAATTGCCTTATTAAAAGGACTTTTATTCTCCATCAGTTTGCAGGATATTGAATTGTATCGTTTAAGTAGAGAATTGAAATTCTCGGAACATCATTGTTCAAGCCCTAATAAAGGCTGCAGAATTTTGAAGTTTATATCAAGCTGTCCCAGCACAGCAAGACAATACAACTATAGAGATTGATTTCTCCAATCTCTTACTTACGAACATAGATCGACAAGCATATGATCTTAGGCAACATCGGACTATACGGGACAATTTCCCCAAGTTAGAAACCGGACAGACACAATCATATAATGTGTTGTCCCTTTCTTTTGGGTTTAAGAGAAAACAGAAAACTTTAAACAAACTAAAACCTAAGACAAAAAATAAAAACTTTTTTAAGTAAAGATCCCTCGAAAAAGAAGAAAACGTAAATCCAAAAGAGGGTCTTTCGATGTGTGAGATTTTAAAATCTGAATTTGCAAATAAAGGTTTCAAATTTAAGAAAACTAGAATCACGAAAGTTAGAAAAGCCTTCGGAAAAAAAGAATCCAAAAGAGAGGGCTTTTGATTTGAAATTAATCAGAAAACCCTAATCTGAAACCAAAAAAAAAACATAAAATCTTAAAAGAGAAATACAAGTTTTGAAATTGAAAACCCTAAGATGAAAAAGACACCAAAAAAATTAGGGCTTTCGGATTTGATTGATGAAAACCTAATCGAAGTTTTGATTTTGGAACAGAAAAGTTTGAAATCTAAGAACCTAAACGGAAGAAAAACATACACTATGTTAAACAAACCCAGATTCAAAGAAGGGGTAGTTCTGCATAATCAAAAACGATACCTGAAGATGGTTCGGAGAAACTCCGAGAAGAAAAAGGAAACGAGAGCGAAAGAAGAAAATTGAAATTGTGAGAATTATCCACGAAAGATTAATTATGATCGGCTTATATAGACAGAGCTCCTGGTCCTAGTTATGATGGGCTTAAGAGCATAGGCCCATATCTGCGTTTCAGAATTTCCTTTTTTTTTACCCTTTTCCATTTTTGTTGGCATCTTTTATTAATATTTTAATAATTTTCTATTACAATTTCCTTTTCTAGTTTTCTTGGTCACACGTATTAACATTCTATAACTAAAAAGAACAATGAACAACAGCACGAATCTAAGAAATCACCATGTTCGTTGTTATTTTACTCAACACGTCAAATAGAACCGCCACATCAACTTTTCTGCAAGATTGAATAGTATAAATATAATCATAAAAGAAACTTAGGTATAACTTTAACATTCAGAAAACAAACAGACCATACAGATTCGAGATGATGGTTTTTGGAAGTAAAAAAGATATGTCAAATGGTTAAGATATTGATAAGAGAGTACTCAAAGTTACACTGCCATAGATTGAATTGAATGATGAACAAAAAAATAAAAGAATTGTCTAAAAATTACATGTCCCCTTTATCCATGGACCAACCACCAATATCACTGTATAGTCTGTATTACATAATCAAATCAACTAGAAATTTGGAATGAACAGACGTACCATAAAAGTAACCAAAAGTGCCAAGGAACGTCAAGTTTCTACCAGCTATGATTACAAAAAAAAATGTCTTCTTTCCAGAAATTAAGTATGGTTCTGTACTTTTGTTGTTTGCCTTTGTACAGTTGTCCACTTTGGTTCCTTAGTCGTCAAGTGAAAGTTATTGTTATTAACATTCTCCTTCTTTACACGGACGAACCTGATTCAACCACCATTGTTGTACTTGTAGCCACCTGATGTTTCCCGTTCTGTTTCATTTGGTGCTGTGACCAAAACCTATGTGCTCCTAAGACTCTGTCTAGCAGATCTTGAGGCACTGGTTCTCCTCTTCGTTGCTGTGGTGATATACTTGCTGTGTGAACCAACGTTTTCCATTTGTCCTGCAACAAAACACAAAGTTATTGGAACCATTTAGCTACAAATTGTAGCGGCTAAGATTCAAAGTGTGTTTGATCATTTTCTGATATGTGTTCTCATACCTTCAAGTCCACATAGGTTCGATGACTTGCATTTTCAAAAGAACGCAACTTCACATCACGCCATCTGTGAAATAAGATGATGATCTATCATTAGTTTGACCCCATAACCATGGTCCATATTATCGTATTAACCATCATCAACCAAAACAGTCTTTTTACCTTCCAGTCCCAACTTCTTCAACTGCTCGTACTAGAGCTTCTACCTCTGTAACAGAGAATGGTCTCCTGGTTCTGCGCTGTGAAAGCTCTGTACGCTTAGGTTTCTCGTTAACTGGAACAAGTGCAAGAGCCTCGGATTCCAAGGCCGAAACTGGAACCAGCGCTCTTGAATCTGATGAAGGTTGTTCATCAGCTGCTGATATGTCACTCGGATGTGGGACTAATTCATGATTGTTCTCCACACTATTTCCCAAATTAATCAGGGGATCTTCATCTTGGAGAGGGATAGGAATTCTAGTATCTAACGAAGGAGAAGCTGCGGACCTAGCAAGAGCAAATGATTTTCCTTAGGTATACCTCTAGAGCTTTAAATTTATCCATACACAAAAGTAAAACTTGCAGCGACAAAAATATATAAGAGCAAGTTTGTTAGTACCTTTCTGACAACTTTGTAGAATCAGTTGGCATGGAAAAGACAGGAGTTTCAGAACAAAGAGGTACAGGCAGTGTTTCCAGACCAGGCTCCAATGTGAAGCCAAGGTTGCCAAGATTTTCTCTACACGAAAGACCAGTCTGTGATAGTGTGTTGTTGTCATCTCTAACCTTCTTCCCTTGGACTAACACCCCAATACGTATTCCACCACCAAGTAAAGCAGTAACAGCCTCCTTCACTGTCCTCTGCAACCAAAAAGATTATGTAAATACTTCATCATTGTACACAGTAGAACAAAAAATCTAAAGAGAACGGTAGGAAAAGACGTTTAATCAAGCACCTTCAATAAGCCTACTGTTGCTGTCTCTGGAACTTCAACAACAAGCTCTGGAATCCTAAGGGACTTGATGCTGAACTTTACTGCAAACAATGAAATAACATGAGACCCACATATCATGTCTCGGTCAATAAGACTGTGAATTATCAACTGATCAAAGTACCACGGGAGTCCTTCGAAAGAAGACCTATTTTTGCAGCAGAGAAATCACCATTTTCTGCATTTAACAAAGAAGCCAAAAAATTATGAATCACAACCATATCAGCCAGGTAATAAAGCATCTGGATATAGACTGATATGTACCTGATTCTCCCTTTTCAGGTGAATTAGAAACACTTTCACTACTGAGCCCTCCATCATAATTAACCACTAACCCTTTGGCAGACAATCTTCTCTTCTTATGAACGGTCTCACGCTTCCATGGGTTGTAACCATAACATAATTTTCTCTTGCGGTACAGAGCCTTCAAACGACCATCTAGACAGATATCCGCAAGCAAAGTAAGGCCAGAGCGGCAGAAAAAAAAATGCACCAAAGAGAAACACAGTAATATATATGATACTAACCTGTTCTAGTGTCTTCAAAACACTTCAACTTGGAGATTGATCTCCCGCCGTATTTTGTCTTCACTGACTGCATTATTCTTCTATTTCCAACCCGGAAGGGAGGCCTATATGACTTACATTTGTCACTAAATTTATAATACTTACAATAGTTTTCGTCATCATCTCTGCAAACTAACTTAGAATGATTCCCATATCCTTCAAAAGAATCATTAGGGAGTTGATCCGTGCATGGTGGCAATTTTACATCTCCATCCAGATGGACCGATTCTGGAGACTGCAAATGTAAATGACTTGGATCCTTTAAGGCACCAGTTGCTTCTCCTTGTCCAGACCCGGCATCCTCATTAACAACACATGTTTCCTCCCCTACCAGGGACTTCAAACCACACGCCGGCTTACAATCAGAAACCGGTGTTTTCTCCAAAATGCAATCATTTTCCAAAGACGAAAATGGCAAACAAGTCACGCTCGTATTTTCACTAGTAGACTTTGAAGCTGGGTTTCCTTGATCGAAAAACTTAGATAGACAAGGCTTGTTATAGCCATCTTCAAGTTCTTGCTTAAGCTTAACCACTCCACCCAAATGATCAAGATTATCACCTTCAAATGCATAGGTAGACGTTGAGGAACTTTCACTTTCTTCCAGCAACTTGCCAGCAAGAGAAGCTAGCAAATCAATAGCACAGATCTCACTTTCATAATCATCATCAGCTCTCTTACCTGACACCTTCCTCTACAAGAGATAAACAAAAGTCATCAGAGACGTATTAAAAACATAGAAAAAAAAAAACAAATCCAAATGAAGCACACGAATCTTTTACCCTGCTTGAACGAGGAGCCTTGGGAATATTGGGGAAATCAAAACCTTTAGAGCCACAACTTAACTTCCTTTTGACCACCATCTCTCAATTATGCATAACAGAACTACCTGCAAAATTTATTCACCACAAAACTTTTAATCTCATGATGATCACCTCCAGCAAAATTAAGCTCAGGATGAAATCAGTATAATTTGAACAAATTGTGAAACTAGTGATCTACAGATCCCATGTCAAATGCAAAATCAGGAAGACAAAACTAAACCCTAAAAGATTCAGATCATTAATGAAACCCCAAACCCTTTGATCAAAGTTTTTTTTTTTTTTTTAAACATGCAAAAATGCAGCGAAACAAGCAACGTGTCACGCAAAAACTGAGATCAAAGAAACGAGAAACGCAAATGTTCACAATTTACGTAGAAACAAACGAGAAACATGACCTTACTGATCAGATCTCGATTGTCAACTTCTGACAAGCCGGCAAATATTTATCCGACATCAGATTTTGTCAGATCGAGGTTAGAATCAGAAAACAGAATTGAGATCATCATGAATTCTGATGAAAAAAAAACTCACCTAATTAGCCAACAACGATTCCTGGATCACAATATCGCGCCAGTTAATTATATATAGATCACGCAAACTGAATAATTACGCAACCTTTACCCAGTAAATGATCCTCTCACGAATCTCTGATTAGAACAATTGTGCTATACAATGAAAACTTTACAGAGACTTGGAAATTCTAAGATTTTAGAGAAAAAAGATTTAGCGATCGTCCTTGTCTTTCTCTCTCTCTCTTCTAGAATAGAAATAACGAAGAAGACATAAAACCCTTTGAAAAGAAAAAACCAACAACTGAAAAAAAGCTTAAACCCCCATTTGAAGAAAATAAATACACACAGTTTTTGTAAACAAGAGAAAAAAATAAAAATTATATTAACAACGGAACCGGATGTGGGAGTTGAAGGTTATTGGTTTTACCGGCTAAAGCCAGTCACTCTTCTTACCATTTTTTTTGTTTTTTAACGACATGTGGAGGATCCTCTCACTACACGAAACCTATTTTCTTTGTCATTGTCAGAAAAAAAAAAAAAAAAAAGAGTTAATTTCGGGATTGGATAAAAATTATAATATTCCCATTTTGAAGGGAATATTATGAGGCTGTGATACCGCGTGGAATCCCTTCTTTTACTGTTCCAGTGCACGTTTTTACATCATTGGTCCACGTGTTTTCTTTTGCTGACGTGGTATTACACCTGGAATTTATTTTGCCTATCAGAAATTAATAATTGTCCGAGTGGTGGTTCGTTTAATTCGATTCTTTGCTTTTAAGTCTAGTTATTTGGTCGTCTTAGGTAGAGTAAGGTTAACATGATTCGAAACTATTGAATTCTTCCCCATAAATATTTTCAAAAGCTCTATTTATGACTTTTATTGGTCAAATATTAATGTTGGGTAAGTTTATTCAGAGTTATTAAATAGTTTGCGATGAAATCGTTTAATATTTGACTGGCAGCCACGATTAACATCTTTCCCTAGCAGTCGAAACTTTCCCTACAATGGAATCGTTTAATATTAACATGAATGAAGGTTAAATAGTACATTTAATTAGGATAATTATCCATGATCTGTTTCTAATAAACATTATAGTGTTAAGCATATTCCTAATTGTAAAAAATGTTTAATTACTTGGTGAGACGGATTTAGGGAAAGTTAAATAAATTACAAAAAATTATGTTGTATATGAGATCCAACCACCTAACAAAACGAGTATATTCCATTTTGATTTGAAAGTCAGTTGGCATAAGCTTATCTTAAGATATATACTAGTAAAATAACAAAGAAATAAAATAAAACAAAAGTACTAAAATATGTATATATGGAAAGACAAGATTTCACATGGTTGATTGTCACACTCATACACTGTCTTGTTTTTTTAATACGCCGATAATATTGGATTTATATCCATGTTGTTGTGTTTAGAAGAAATCCATGTGTTTGTGTTTCATGTAGATGTGATATAGTCTACGTACACACATATATTTGCCAACGGAACATTTTCAGAATTTTATAATATGATGAGATCTGTTATATACATATAAAACATACCAAGTTGTTCTTCCAACTTCAAAGTTCGATAATGTTATGGGAATTAATCATACACACTGTTGACGAAGACAACTAATTAATATTATGCAGTGACGATAACATATTTATTGTATATATATATGTCAAAATAACATCAAATTATGTTAACAAATAGTATATATTTATTCATCTAAGGTGTATTTTTGATCCCAATGTTTTTAAATATCAACAACGAATGTGTGTAGGAGGCAGAAATGTTTTTAAAAAGAATAGCACAAAAATCGAAGAATTTCATGCATTTTGCTTCGGCGGAAGAAGCAAATGGTAGACTTAAAATAAAAGGTTGAAAGAGTTGAATGACCATCCATCTCATTTTTTACCATTTGAAATGAATAAGTTAGAAAATTGATTCAACCCATTCAACCCAAAAAGTTGAAAAAATGAATAAATTATGAAGGAAAATTGTTCAACCCTTATAACTACTATTTCGCAGAAGAATGAATTGAATGATGTTTAACTTTTTTTTGTTCAATTCAAAAATTTTCAACCATTCATCTATATGTCATCCATTTGCAGCCATAGATCTGGTCTTTACTCGTTTGCAAGTTCGTTCGTTTGGTTGAACAGCTTTTTTTTCTCCTTTAAACTTTTTTTTTTCTCTGTCACCAAGTTGAAGAAAAGCAATCACGTATTATCGTTCATCACATGGTTCTCATATCCTGGCAACATATCGATATTGATATAAAATTCCGTTTGCCCAAAAGAATCTCAATATCTTACATTATACATTAACATCTACGTTTAATTTGAAACAGTGGCTTTGAGACGGTTACGTATTCTTGAAGGCCGTATATATTCGTTGAGGTGGTTGAAATAAACTTATTCGACATGTCAACTTAGACTTCATCTCCAATCAAATGTTCTTATCGTTCAGATCTTGTGTATGTGTGTTATGGAAAATAGATCTATGGGTGTGTTTGATTTCATCGTTCCTACAGGCTACACATTAAAAAGAGAAGTCACTATATATAGTGGCGGAGCTAGGACGAACTTTTATTGGGGTCAAAATTATACAAAACAAAAAAGAATACTGAAATGCACTTTAAAAAACAAATTATAAGCCCAAATTTTAGAAAACTTTACATTGTCTAAATTATTATATTGTATTATGTATTTGGATTCAATCTAAAAGATCAAATCTTTGTAGCTATAAGAATATGGATTTTCTATTTTTTTTTTAAGTAAATCATGAGTTTAAGTCAAATTTATAGGGGTCAATGTCAAATCTTCAGTGGAGTTAATGTTATAATTTCTTAAAAAACATAAAGGGTAATTAAATTTTGTTGGGGTCAGTTGACCCCCTCCACTACACTTGCCTCCGCCACTTATATATTAAAATAATGTACAGCAGTTTTTTTTATGAAAATGATGACTTTTTAGCTTGTTAATCTCATTGCGACTTTTCTTTTGTTTCATTAAATATGAAATCTAGAGTTAATTTTAAAGTTTAAGATATTACAAGAAAATCATTCATTTAAATTAGTGCACACTTCATCAAAAAAATAAAAAGTTAGTGCACACTAACACTTGTAAATATCATCAAGAAATATACTTCTTTTTATTCAAATCTTAACTCTAAATATGATCTTATAATAATTGTTCGATCATGCCCGATACATTGCAAAGCTACATGGTTATGCCTAAGCTATCAGTATTATACCTTTTCCACCGAAATCACGCTAGAGTTGGAGCCGTTCCCATTCTCAGATTCAGTTCCTATGCGTAAATATATAGTCCCATATAAAATAAACTTTGGTTTTTGACCAGAAGCGCGATACAAACATAAATTTCCCAGACAAAAACAAAGACAATTTTCCAAAGAATACGATTTTTCTGTTATGATTGGAAAATGGGTCGGAAACAGAAAATAGCTAGTAATAATAGTAAAGTAATTTATGTATTAAATGGGTCCAAGTGGGAGGTGGATGCGTGAGTGAAAAAGATACCACTAGTAAGAAGTAGTTCAACTGTTCAAGTAACCTTTTAATTAAAGAGAAAGCGTTGCGTGAAGAACAATCTATAACCGTCAACTATGACTAAAACTATAAAAGAAGTAAAGATGCAAAACTCAAACGTAAAATGGATTTCCTCGTGCCGAAAGATAAAACTTCCACATGTATATCTTATTTTAGCATCACATCATCATCATCATAATATTATTGTCATCACCATCATAAATTCATATTTCATAATGATGATGTTGGTATGATGATGATGATTAGGCAATAAAAACATTGGGCTTTTTAAAAGTTTGAGTTTTCACATGGGTTGCCTCATCATTAATACAATTGGGCTTTTCAAGAGTGGAATTTGCTTCTGATTGCAAAGATTCAGTCTTGGGCCTAATAGTGTAGGAGAATACTTGCGTTTCGCGAGATAGCCTAAGAACCCTCGACATTTTAGAAAGAGTTCGATAGTATCTTTTAGTCTACATCTCTTCAAACAAATCAAGTAAGTGAAGCAAGTGTTCTCTTTAACCGCGTCTGATTCTATCATTTTTCCAAAGTTATCGGATTGGCTCCAACCTGTTGTATCGGCCGGATTACCCAAAGGACTAGTTGGTCTCAGCGAATGATTAATGAATTAGTTTCTTTTGAGGGAATGATTTTTTTGCCGGAAATAGAGGTTTAACGTTGAGTTCACCTAATACGTAACTTTGCATGAGTTGCACAGCACCATTTATAAACAAAAGTCAATCAAATGTGAAAATGAAGTATGACCCATTTCTTATAGACTTGTCACCGATATAATCAAGCATGTAAGCGGAAGCAAGATTTGAATATTGTCAATTATACATGATAGACTTATATATTATGTTTCAACCACCAGGATTCAATTACGCCCAACCGATGAGTTGAGTCTGAGTGTCCTTGATCGATACTCGAGAGTTAGCAAACAAGAACGATGGATGATTACGTCGGTAGAATACTTCTCACCAAGTTTGTCATAAAAGACGATCAACTGAGTAGAATCATCCAGTTACTGTCGTAATCAAACATGATACCCATAAACACACTAAGTATTTACAATCAAATACATATAGCATAAGCACAAAGTTGTCTCTCACAACATTGACACACAAGAGTCAAAATGCTTACTACCCGTTTCAGACATTTTGATTACACAAATTACATTAGTCCTTAGTAGCAAACATACATAACTAAATCCACGATCACCAGCATTCCCATTACCATTGATCGCAAACCTTAACCCCAAAGTGAAATGCTGCTGATCCAAAAGAGATTTTCGGATACTTGTAGCATCATTCACTGTTCTACACAACAATGGAAACATCAAAAGAGAAATAAATACCTCTTTTTTTTTTTTTTTTAATGGTTTTTCAGGTTGATTGATATCTCTCAAGATGAGCAATGAGGACAACGTATCAATCCGTTCTCATTGCAGTCCGGACATCTCTTGAGCCTATCTTCATCCTCATCAAACAGTTTCTTGCTCCCACTACAATTGGAACACGGAACGAATCTGATGTCCCCGCAGCAGTGGCAAACAAAGCCTGGTTGTCTCATAGGAAACTCTTTAAGAATCTTGGCGAGCTCGCCAATTTCGAACAAACTCTTGATCACATCAGCACCACCCACATACTTTCCCATAATGAAAACTTGAGGCAACGACACACTCTTCTCTCCCATTGCAATCTGCAACTCTTTCCTGTAAGCTATATCCATGGAGACATCACGCTCATCAATCCAAACACGAAACCCTCTAAATATCATTCTCACAGCATAGCAATCCTCATATGTCCGCCTAATCCCTCTCAAGCTAGTAAAATACACCACAATCCTGTCCTCTGTCCCGGGAAGACGGATGACCGAGTTGTTTAAGCTGAAAAAAGGCGATATCCGGGATTCGGGTAAAAGAGATTTGCCGGATTTCTGCTTTTGAGGAATCTCAGCTGAGGCTGGTTTAACGGGTTTGGAACTCTCAAATAATCTACAAAGGTTTTTGACTTTGCCTTTAAGAGAACTTCCCATAGATTCAACGGGGGTGTAGAATTTGGTAATGGAGGTGGTACGATTGAGAGAAGGATTGAGATTGTGGGATTTGGGGCTCGAATCCACCACTGTTCTCCCGTGAATTGTAAGCGACCTGTTGAAAAACGACGACGTCGTAGCCGATTTCGTCTTCCCAGCGTTTTTATCTAATCCCGCCATCGAAACCAGATCAAAGAAACACCCTTTCGACGGCTGTTTTGGTGCAAAACCTAATCAAAACCCTTACGATCAAATTCAAACAAATAGACGAATAAATAGAGAAAATTCAACAATCGTCTCACCGATCGATCAAATCCCTAGGAAGAATCGGAAATCGGAATTATCCTTAACGTCTGAACAAAATAACGATCGGAGAAGAATCAGCTTCTCTGATTTTTGAGCTGATGGATTCTCGCCAATGATCAAAGGAAGACGAAATTGATGAAAGAATGATCTGATTTTCTGGGAAATTTGGCTTTGTTTTGGTTGTTTGTTCTTGTTGCGGAGAAGAAGATGTGGAGGAGAGCTCCGAATTAGCCTTTGTTTTGTGTCTCTGCCTTTGTTCTAAAGCAAAGAATTTTTTTCTGTTTTCTTTCTTATTTTTCCTTTTTTTTTTTTTATAATTATTATGTCTACTTATTAAAGGCTCTTTATGATATTTTTTTACGCGATGCTCCTTCGAGGAAAAAACGAATTGAAAAATAAATAAAATAATAAAAAGGTCGATTGAATTGCTAGAAAAAGTCGTTTAATTGGTAAAACGCGGTTGTCGTATTTAAAAAGGTTTACTCAAATGGTTACAGCGGTATGGAAGAAACCCGTTTCTATGGTCGGTTTATAGCTATTGCCTATTGGTTCTACGCTCGGTTTACACACATTGGGTTTGACCCAATAGCTATTGGTTCTACCCTCGGTTTACAGATATTGGTTTTCATTCTAAAAACAAAAAAAAAAAACATTTTAAGAATTGTCTTCTTGTAGCTACATTGTTTCCAAGAAAGGATTTAACTGTTACATTAGCTTGTTGGATTTTCGGGACAAGAACATGGTTTGGTCTTGGTCGGATATCGGGTCTCCTATGGCGATAGACGAGAAGAGTTACTTTGGTTTACTTTCGGGATGTGACCAAACCAAGCATATCAAGGAACTGAATAAAATCAAACAGGTTTTAAAGACAAGTTTTGGGATGAAGTAATAATGCCAGCTAAATCAGCTATAGCCTGACACCTAAAAATGGCGCATAAGAAATTATTAAGTTTACATAAATGATGACTAGAGAGAGTTTCTAAATAACCATATTAACCCCTTTTCTAAAAATCTCCGTCTACCCCGATGATTCCCCACTTAATTGCTAGACTCATTATATTCGCCTCGATTAATGACTAATCCCCTAAACAAATCAGTTATCCGATTATTCTCTACCTAATCCGATTACTTCCCGCCTAATCCGATTATTCTCCGCCTAATCTTACATATCCCGATTATTTTTAGATTGGAAGTATACAAAAACCTTTTATTTTTGTTATTCAATCATTTGAATTGAGAGTTTGTGATGTTTTACTATAACTTATGTTCAAATTTTAATAAAAATCATAAATTTGTAATAAAAATCATATAAATATGTCTCAAAAATACATTTTTATGTGTTTACTGCAATTTTGAAAATAATATTAGATTAACATGTTTTAAAAATATTAAAATAACCCTAAAACTAATCTCCGAGTAATACCGATTTTCCGATAAATCACTAAATCCATACCAAACGTCTGACTAGCGCCAAGCGATTTTTCAAACAATATTAACTAATAATACTCATCTCATTCCTAGGTGAAGATGGATTCCATGCGATTGCAGAAAATACCGAGAATGCTGCATATACAAATATGTACAAATATGAGTAGTGAGGAGAAATGAAATTATGGGCCTGTAACCATGAAGATGACTCTAGCAAAGAAGTGAGCTTGTAAAAGGAACAGCTATCAGCCACAAGTGATAATTGTAGATTCTTTGAAATTATGTATATGGTATTCATATTGAAATATTCAATCTTTAGTTCACACACAACAAATCTCTAAAATTCAAAATCAATTAGAAAACTGAAACAACTCACAGGTTTAGAGTTTGAATATGAGGAAGATGATAATGGAAAAGAAGATGGACGTCAATTTTTTTATATTCTGTGATATTTTTGTAACTAAAATGTGCATTTTGCAATATCATATTACTAGCAATGTCAGATCCAAAAACAGAATACTATGTCATATTGTGAAAAAAACAACCCCACTCCATTCCAATATGAATTTTGGAAAAAATATAAACTCAATAAAAACGTTGCTGTCGGTTTGCACCGAACGATTAAAGTTAACCAAGCCAGCAAGCAACCCCCAATTCTTCTTTCTTCTTCACCTTTAGATTAATTTTTCCTCAAAGAGACGTTTAGTTTCTGAATAAACGTCACAGAACCCATTTGATGAAGCTTCTTGCTTTCGGAATTTGAAAAGGTACAAGTTTTTTTTTTCCTGGGTTGATTATAGATGGAATTATTTGTCGATGAATCGGGTGTTGTCTAGTTGTTGTTTGATTTCAATTTGACTGCAGCTAGCTCGAACTTGATTTGCTTTCTTTTGATTGGGATTTGATAAGATGAGTTCATAGAAGATTACCGCAGGTTCATGAACCTTTGTTTTATGTGGTTTCAGCTTTTGAAACAAAAATTCTAGCTTTATATGTGGTCTCTGTGATTTTCCTTCTGATTCTCCTCTCTGCTATCGCCAATTCGTATTAAAGGATATATATGCCTTTGGTTGTTGATTACAGGAATTTGTTATGGAGATAATCTCACTGAACTTTGTGCCTCAGTGCTCTGTGGTGACTTGGAGTAGTAAATTAGCCACGAAAAGATTGGTCCCAAATCGATCGAATTTGTTATTATCTGGGGTCAGAAAATCCAGACTTGTGATTCGAAGTGGGAATTCTGATGGTTATGTGGTTGGTGAGAATGATGACTTGGGCAGTATAGCCAGAAGAGGAGAATCAACATCGAAAGTTTTGATTCCTGGTTTGCCTGATCAATCAAATGGTGAGGTTGCTGCTCCAATCAGTCATTCTCACTGCGAGTGGAAGCCCAAGCTTAGAGTACATTATGAGAAAGCGGGTTCTGATAACCTCGATGCTCCTGCCGTGTTGTTTCTTCCTGGCTTTGGTGTTGGTTCATTTCACTATGAGAAGCAGCTTACCGATTTGGGAAGGGATTATCGAGTATGGGCTATTGATTTCCTTGGGCAGGGTTTATCTCTCCCAACTGAAGATCCTACTACCATGACTCAAGTCTCGCAAGATAAGGAACCGTTTTGGGGATTTGGTGATAAAACTGAACCGTGGGCTGATCAACTTGTATTCTCGCTGGATCTCTGGAGGGATCAAGTTCAGTATTTTGTAGAAGAGGTTAGCAACATCTGTGATAAATCTACTTTTCTGTTCAGTTGTTCTGTAACTCTTTAATTTGTTGATTTTTGTTTGTTGTACAGGTTATTGGTGAGCCTGTGTACATTGCAGGGAACTCACTTGGAGGGTATGTAGCTCTCTACTTTGCAGCAACCCATCCTCACCTGGTAAAGGGTGTTACCTTACTTAATGCAACACCTTTTTGGGGGTTCTTCCCTAATCCAGTAAGATCCCCAAAGCTAGCACGTCTCTTTCCATGGCCCGGAGCATTCCCTCTGCCGGGAAGAGTGAAAAAAATCACAGAATTGGTGTAAGTGAGACTTTATTAGCTCATCTTCTGACCTGCAAAGTATCATTTTATCTTATCACTCTAATATCTTTACTTTTGTCTTACTTCCCAATGGAATTGCAGGTGGCAAAAGATAAGTGATCCTGAAAGCATAGCTGAGATACTTAAGCAGGTCTACACAGACCATTCTACCAATGTGGATAAAGTATTCTCACGTATTGTGGAGGTCACGCAGCATCCGGCTGCTGCCGCATCGTTTGCTTCAATCATGCTTGCTCCTGGTGGACAGCTATCTTTCTCCGAAGCTTTATCTAGGTATAAGACACTGTGGTTCTCTTGTTTTTATATGTCTTTCCCTCTTCGTGATTTGTCTTATTGCTTATCAAGGAATGCTATTTGACGGTTTATGCTAGGTGTAAGGAAAACAATGTTCAGATATGTCTCATGTATGGAAGAGAAGATCCATGGGTGAGACCGATGTGGGGAAAGAAGATAAAGAAGAAAATCCCCAACGCTCCATACTACGAGATCAGCCCTGCAGGACACTGCCCACACGATGAAGTCCCTGAGGTATAATGAACAACTCAATAAATTCTTCAAACTCTGCAATTAGGTTTGGATCTAAGTAATGAACCCATTTGGGATATGAAAACGAGTAGGTGGTGAACTATCTGATGCGCGGGTGGATCAAGCACCTGGAGTCTGGTGGTTTTGAAGCGCTCCCGCTTTTGGACGACACTGAAGAAGATTGGGAGTCCAGCTTTGGTAGAGAAATTGAGTTCCCGAGAGATGGTTGGAAAAAAGCAGTGAATCTGTGGTTGTATGGGTCAAAGTATTCGTTCTGGAGAGGAGTTAGAGAATCTTTCAGATCCAGTTTTATAAGGGTGTTTGGAGGGAAGTCTGCATAGAAGAAGCATGGAACAGTCGTTGTCTAGTGTAAATTAGTTGTAACATATGATGCATCCGATGCTAGCTATATAATATTGTCTGTAGTAGAATCAAGTTTCTAAAATGTTGAAAAGGAAAAAGTTAGAAAAATATCTACTTGTCACCTAAGTTGAAGAAACTGCTGTCTTGCATTGTTGTATATAATCCACAGGTTCATGTTAATATAGGAAGGTGAGGATGGAACCCGACATTGCAGGCCATATGAGTTGTCTTCAAATGTGATAGTAGTAGAAAATGGAAGGGCATGTTGTAGAGCTTGAAATTACTCTGAATCCAAAAGAAGAAAGTGAGTGTATTTTGAACAGTTTTATTTGAACATGTAGGGTGTTTGAAAAGACGTATCATTGGTTACTTTTCTCGAGGCAAGTCGTATCCTAGACCATGTTCTTCCCTTAGCTTGAATCTCATTTTGGTCTGTTTCACAGTCAACAAGAAGGGACTGAACTAGAAAGGCTATCCAAACCACTTTGAGAAACTTGCACAGGCTATATAAGTATATAGCCAACATGGGATTTGGTCTGCTTCTTTTCTTAATTTTTTTTAATTAATTTGTTTCTTAATAGTTTCTGATAATATCTCGTTATCTATTTATTGATTTGAGAATCAAAAAAAGTTTCGGTGTTTCAAAGCTACTAAGTACTAAGTGTCGTCGGTCTACACTATTTGTAAGAAATTGCTTCTCAATGTACTAACCAAAGTTCTCAGTATTGTTTTCTATCACCAGTTGATAACATAATGTTAACCATCAAACAATTCTATTTGTTTAATTTATTAGTATTACTACTAGTGCAATTTTATGCTTGGGGTACTTTGAAATTGTTTCTAATTGTTGCGCTGATTTTTTTTTTGTCGGTCAACATTGTTGCTCTGATCGCTCATTTCAACGTTAGTACGGTGGGAACACATTCTCCCTCCGGAAC